AAACGAACAAAAGAAATTAAAGCAACCTGATTGGCATCAAATATCTACAAAAGCCTGGTAATTTGAAACCATTATATACATTATTTTATAAACTTCTTTTTAAACACCAAAACATACATCTTTACAAACCAGCCTGCTTGAGACAGGTAAAATTTACAAGACAATCTTTTCCAATACAGTGCTTTAAAGAAAACATCTTTGTCATCTCCTGAAAAGCGGCAGTATGGGCTCATTGCATTGCTGATTAATAGTGTTTCAGGTATTCCTATGACAAAAGAATGCTACAGTTCTGAGGGCTCCAATCTCTTTCCATAACACAGTTCAAGTGCACTCTTAACACTGGTAAAGATTACTTATGGCCTTTGTGTAATACGACATATTTGCAATTATTGCTTTTCATTATTACATAAAGAAACAAATTTAATTTAATTTCCTCCCCATCCGCCCATCCCTTGGATGATGCAGCTAATTTACTAACTGAATGGCCCTTCTGATAATGAAGATGTTAAATGTTAAGTTCATGAACACAGGCTAAAAGCCATGAGTAATGGGCAATGGTCTACATTTCTAAGGCTCAAATCACAGTTTGGTGTATTGAGAGGAGCAGAGATGCAAACAGGCAAAAAAGCACAGTTTTTACCACATGGTAAACAATGGTAAACCATCAGGGAATGAAGCTGAAGATGTAACTCTCTTATTGGAAACCAATGAAATGCCCATTATTACTGAGTGAATAGCTCCAAACATTATCTACAAAGCACAGATGTACTTTCATACTGGTTCTGAAGAGCTGGCTTCCTCCATTATTAAGGATGCTTCCTTTCCAAATGAAGCTTAGCAGGACTGGTCCAGGGCACCTTCAACTCCCTCTCCCAGGACAGCAGTTATTGTTGACTGTTAGGATATACTTACTATAGCATCCATTTAGCTTTTTCAAGCAGGAGCTCGATGAGGAGTAAAGTGTGTTCTTAGCCATTTGTCCTGTTCAGCCCATGTTTTTCTTTATGATGGAATTTATAGGAGACGAGCAACAACTTTTATGTCATATTCTCAAAATGTCTCTGCCTGGCTCACAGAAGACAACAGGCTACTACCTCCCCACTGATGAGCATTTTATGACATGCTTTTATTCACTGTGCTGCAGCCACACTGAGTTTCTGACTACTTCAGACTACACTAGAGAATTTAGAGAACAGGAGAAAAAATTCCAAAGACCAAAATTTAAGCTCTTTGTGGGACATGCAGAGGTAGAGACCCTGCTTGACAGACGGATCACACAACTTTCAGGTTTGGGAAAACAGTGACAGTGAGAAGCCCTTCACTCCTTCCAGCCTTTTATTGGAATTACATATTAAAAGAAACCCATGGGATAGCTCAGGATCAAAGATGTCACTGAGCTTAAGGGAAACAGGATATCATGGTTCTGTAGTGAATCTCTGCATTCCAAAGTCCTCCTGGTTGCCTTCATATGCTGTATCCTATAGGAGGGTCCTAGAGGAAGACAACTTTATGGTTGGGGTTGTCTAGTGGCATTGTCCATTTTCTCCCATGGGAGGGGAGTGATTCTACAGCTCCATGGTGTCACATTTGGCCCTTTATTCCACTTTAAGATACAGGTCAAGGACAGCAATTACGTCCACTGTTTATAGTTTTGGAGGGGAGGTTGCTCTTTTTTTTTTTTTTTAATATTTATAATACAAAGGCAAAGTAATTAACATACTTAAGAATGATACATAAGCCTAATTCTTCCTTTTGCACAAGGCCACCGGATGTGGTATTGGCAGAATAAATCACGTTGTAGTCACTGTAAGGCTCTTTCCATTGCCAGCGTTATTAAAAAGGCTAGCACAGTGCATGATATTCTCAACTTGATCAAAATGCAGAGAACAAGCACCCTGTTACTTAGACTCATACACCCCTGGCAAAGTTCGTGATTTCTGATATAAATGCCTGTTTGCATTTTAACAAGTTGCTTTTTTTTTTATCTTGCTGCTTCTTTCCAAAAAGCAAAAACTTTCTTGATCTTAAGTTATAAGCCAGTGATACTAAAAAATACTTCATTAAGCCTATGAAATCATCTGTTACAGATGATTCTGACAGAAAATATCACGTAGTGGAGCCATCTACAGGGATGTAGTTTGAAATACAGACACACAGGATAAGCAGAAATGCACAGGGTAGCTCTTGCAGAACCAGAGACCTGACGGCAGCAGTGATACAAAAATCATCACATGGCAGAAAAAGGAAATATATATTGGAAGTGCTAATATGAATGGTAATTCTTACATTATGTTATGAATGTGTTCTTATGTTCCAGATTAGAAGATTTTGACTTGTTCATGTGGAGTAGCAATTAAAAAGAAAATAGAATGTCTTGGTTTAATAAGAGATGTTAATATGAAAATCTTATTCCCTAAGAGGTATTTCACCTTTAGATTTGCATTTGGGTCTTATCATTATAAAAAAGAGCCTAAGCAAAACCAGAACGGCCACAGAAGTACCAATATTCACAGAGGAGTATCTGAAGATGGATTTGGAGGGGAGGAGATACTGAGGTATAGAAATCATGAACAGGACAGAGAAGGCTGAACAGGTGATCCTTGGCACCTTCCCAACAGCACTTTAATAAGTAGGCGTTCAGTGAAATGAAATGGCAACAACATCAAACAGAAAAAGTACTATACATTGTATTTATGCATATTTTACTATTAAAACTCACTACCAACAATGTATTACTGAGGCAACAAGCTTGGTAAGAAACATTTTTTTTTTTTGTATGGCAATCACTAAGCTCCCATCGTGCTGTCCCTTGTGACACTTTTGATATGTCCCAGTGAAGGTTTGATATTGGTGTCTCAGACTTACACAAGAACCTTCACTACAGAAGACAGGTGACAAGTACACCTAATAACTAGCTGGGGGCTTGAACAGAATTAGCTGCATAATGGATAAAAAAGTCTCAAATCAAAACTGAGTGGGAGCAAACCTCATGTAAACTGCAGCCCGATGCTAAGAGAGCATCACATTCTCAGAAGGTCATACAAGCTTTAAAAGTGCAGCTGAATTTGCAGAATTGCTTTGCCAACTCTGATGCTCCTAACTCTTGAAGAGACATCAATCTAATTGCATTTCCTTTCCTGTAACACAGACTTCACGAACGATACGAGTTATCCTCTATCCACGCCTCTAGGCTTGCCAAACCATTTTATGGCTTTCTGGCAAATCCATCAATTCCTTGCAATCACAATACAAATTTCCATATTTTTTTCTTCTTAAAAACACAGGAATAATATCAGGGGAAAGGGTTTGAAACGCACCATGAGCACATTCAGAATATATCACTTTTACAGAAGCATGTTTACTTTGAGAAGACCAAGTGACATTCATAAATTCAATGGACAGGACCTATTTGCAGACAAGTACTTGATAATACTTGTATGTGCAGTACATTTGTTCTACAAGTTCACTCATTCTATTCATATACCTGCATAATGAGCTGTTTTCTACTGAAGAATTGCTGCATCATCCCAAAGAAAATTTTTCATAGCTATATGAGCTAATGGAGGGAAGCAGCAACACATTGTACCTACTTCAAGAATTCTTGAAATCCTGTTTATTAAAAGTGTTACAAGCTGCAATTATTTAAATTACATTCTACTAGTAATTTCTTTGTGTTGGGGAAAATTTCTAAACAAACCCTTCCTGTATGTCAAGAAATGGCCCACAATTTAATTTTGTGTGAAACTCATGGCAGTCAAGAACATGCCCTGGCATACAACTGCTGAAACTATCCACTTAAGGTGATTCACCCCTGCTAATGAATCTGTTCATTTATCACAATGATTCAGGTATTCAATAGCTTTTCAGAATGACAGAATTATGCCATGGAAGAAATGGATGAAAATCCAACAGCAATGCAGGCTCGTAGACTCACATTCACGGGTAAGGTACACAGACACTGTAAAATGCAGTGGTAAAAATATTTTCAGAGCACCAAGCAACAGGTGTGTATACTCTGCTTTAATACATTGAGTGAAAATCCCATATTTCCAGATTGCACTTGACTGCTCTGACCAAATCAATGTGAAAGACCATTAATCAGGCTGAGGAAAGCATAAAAGCACACAGATGCCATGGTTTTCTTGATTGCACAACAATATTCTGAAGTCTGCAAACAACCTTTGGATGTACTCAAATCCTACAAAATCATGCACCCAGTGGAAAATCTAGTGACAGATCTTTGGCCACAGTCCATTCATGCAGCTCCACCGACTGAGTCAGTCTACAGCAGCTGAGAACTCATCCTGTGGACTCTAGGGATGGACATTTGCCAAAAGATGTTAAATTAATGATGTGAGGTTACAGCAGCCTTATATGTAACTTAATTGCAACTAATTTTACTGCAGTAACTGCAGCATGAGGACTGCTGTCAAAGAGCTGTTTGCTCAAGCATGAAATTTCCAACAAATGATCGGCTGTGTAGGTTACCCCATGTTTTCAGATCCATGTTCACATTGCATACGTGTTAAGAGAGGCTGTGAATACACAGCTACGGCAAAACCAGGCCACTCTGGAGCCAAACTCTGGCATTTCGGGAAGTCCTCATGGGCAAAGTCCTCATGAACAAGCACCTGACATCAGGTTTTAAAAATGACAACCAAAGTAAGCCAATTTGGAGTAAATCTAAACTCTGTGTATGTGTGTTACTCTACACAAAGTAGAATGAAATGCTATGTAATAAACAAAAGTATAGATAAATATTTAAGGACAAGTAACTGGTCACTTGTCTTTGATAGGTCAATTCATAAATGCTGCTTTTTTTAGTCAGCTGATATGTTGTATGCAGCAGCCCCAGCGATCAATTGCTTTCACTTCATAAAATTTCATGCATCAGTGCATCCTACAATGATGCATACCCGTGCCTTAATACTGTGGGGAGATCATAACACTGTAACACTTTTAATAACACAATGCCAAAAAAAACCCCAAAACAATCCAACTTTGTGAGAGAGAAAGAAATTATTTAGCAGTTATTTTTCCCCTGCCTCAAAAGCTGAGTTTTATTCTTGATAATAAATAGAAGGTACACACTCTCCAGATTGTCTGTAACAATTTTGTGATGTACAATACTTAACACAATTGGTCTCTTCGTGTCTGCACATACAGTATCATTTCTGAACAAGTTAATAATGGGTTATACTGTACTTTTCTTTGCCCAATATATATATAGACACACCTTCAGCAAAATTTCTTCTCAATATTTATACTATTAATTGGACCAAATGACAAAATTAAAAAAAAAAAAGAAGAGGAGAAGGAAGAAGAAAGGAGCTTCCTTTACACTTGTGTCTGCTGCTGAGTCTCCACAAATGGAATGTGAACATTTTCTAGGCTGAGTTCCTCCACGCTTTCAAAGTCACTCATGGCTACTTCGGAGTCATCAAAGCCGCAGCCGGCTGAGACGTCAGAGGAGGAGGCGTTGAGAGAGTTGTGCAAGGATAAGGGCATCTTACCTGCACTAACATTTTCTGTGTTCTGGCTTGGGCCAGCAGCAAAAGTACTAAATTCGTTCCCACTCTGAGATCCTGTGGTGTCCGTCTCATTGGGGAACTGGTGGGGAGGGAGGTATTGGCTCGGGTGGAAGTGCGGCCGTCTCCTGCAGTCAGGGCTGAGAGTACTTGCCATGGAGACTGGCTGCGAGGGTGGGAGGGCTTCATACTGGTCTGGGTAATCCTCTGGGAGAGGAGGTGGTAACTGGTCCTGGCTCAAAAACTCCTCTTCGTGAGGGGGAGGGTAGTCGCTGTCGATGTCGTAGCCACCAAGGTAGTAATCTGTTTCCAGCTCTCTGGTACTGCCGTGATGAGCCGAGCCTCCTTCTGCCGTCTCAAAATTGGGCACCTCCTCAATGTCGGACAGGCGAGCACTGGGCATCCAGTCAGAGGTATCCCAGTGATACGCTGCAGCAGGGAGAGAACCACAGTGCTCTGTTAGGATGAGACCACAGAGGAGAGCAGAGTGTCCTGCATGCCCTTGCCTGAGTCCTTACAGAACATTCAAATCACAGCATGCGCCACAGGCCACGGATACAGGTCAGTCATGCTCTGACCAAAGGGGTAGAGAAGGAGAATAACTTGCATTATGATGCTAATGCAAACAAGCAAAGAAACAAAACACCCCCACTCTCAGGCATGTTTCTTTTTAAGATGCTACTGAGTTGTATTAGAAACTATGAATCCAAGAAATCAAGATGTCTGAATTACTGCTTTTCACAGTTATTTGAAAAAAAAAAATCTTTAAATGCAGTCAGCATGCTTATGGGATCTTATCTCCCCTTCCACCTCCAATGACTTCAAAAAAGAAAGTGTGCAAGCAAATAATTCGATTGACTGAAAACTGAATTTTGAAACAAAAAAAGTGGCTGACCATTCTCATGCATCTTTTGAACCCAACAGAATTCAAACAAAAGAGTACACATGAAGCAGTTCAAGAAAAAAAAAACAAATAGATCAAATCAGTGCTCTGCCCACCCCGGCCCACAGGCAGAAGGTGTCCCAGAAAAATCACCTCTGTTGTAGTTCTGTCCTTGATCCATAACAGACACTGTCAGATATAAAGTGAAAAGCAAAAACTGGTAACTCGGAGCTTGTCACCAGCATTGTAGTAAATGTGAAAATACAAAACTCAGCATGCATATTTTTAAAGTACAGCTGCCATGGTGTCATTTTAGTAGGATTTTTAATTATTCTTTATTTTAACGTACGAGATAAGCTTGTCTGTCAAATGCAGACGCATATAAAGAAATGTTTATGTTGTGTATTATATTCCTTTTCTATCATATCTTAATTATTTACCCTCACTGAACAGATATAGAATTACATTGGAGCTGTAATTCTTAAAATAAAAAAGGGCTATCCACCATCGACACGGCTTATAATCGCAAAGTACATTTTTCTCTAACTTGTTCACTTTGAAACAGAAAAATAAGAATCTACCATTCTCAGGGCCGGTTCAAACAAATCTGGGCCCACCTGGGCTCAGATACCATGGTGATGGGCACGGTATAAGAACCTGAATAGAATAGAATACAAAGCCATTTAATGGGGCTATCAGCTACAATGCTCCGCAACCCCACACCCACCTCCCACCTGCACTGCCATGCTAGCTGGTGGGGAGGGAGGCATTCCAGTATGGAGAGGGTGCAGGGGTGGGGGAGAGAGCAAGGAAGGAGGTTTTATGTGAGACAAGAGCAGGGAATAAGCTGCAGCATTTTCTAGATGGATATGCTCTTGTTCAGCTGCATGTTACTGGGCTTCATGCAAGAAGTCATCGGGCAAAGTCTCTGGATGACATTGCTGGAGGAGGTCTGGCAGGAGAAACAGACATTTATGGCATCACAGCTCGTGACCTCTGTGGCTCAGACACAGGCGAGGGCAGAAAAGACCTCTCCAGCCCTTCACCTACTAAGACCACACTTGCCCTTGCTCATCACCACATAGTGCATGTGGTGATGGTGATTTCTCCCTTAGCTCGACAGCAGGCAGGAGCTCTCCACCTGCTCTGCCATGTCCTGGAGTGAGGAGGGCTGGGGCTACTGCAGGTTTAGCAACAGTGTCTGAACCGGCCCTAACCTCTCTTCTGCATTTCTCTCTTCTTTGTACAGTGGATTTTGCTGTATTTGGGTCGGTGTGATGGCACTGCACCTGAGATGTGTGAGGTCTCCCTGCTGTGTGGATCAGGATCCAGGAGAACCTCACTAATTCACCAACTTGCACAACCCCAGGCAGGGCCCTGGGGCAGGAGCCCCATCCTCCCACGACTCTGTGGCAGGGATTCTGCCCAGAGCTCCAGTGTGGCTAATTATTCACCACGTCCATCAGCTCTGCTGCAGAGCAGGCAAGAATCTTAAGTTTCATATTGGGAAGTGGGCAAAGTCTTTTCAGTGACAATCTCTTGAGTCTGCAGTCAGACAGGCTTTTTCTGACCTGTACAGGATGATAATGAGCCAGTGGTTTTGCTTAAGCTTTCCCTTAGGAAGGCAAGGTCATTTGCAGTGCCTCTGGTTTCTTTTCAAGGTTATTTTTTTTTTTGAATGGGACTTTCTTTTGACTTAACCTTACCTTAGCTAGTTAATTTTTTTTTAATAGTGAGAAGAATGGCACACTTGAGGAAATCAATAAATGTACTATGAACAAATACTCAAGTGGCATCACTACCTAGGAATAAAATTACTGTGACACTGGCTCAAGAAAAAAGTCAGTAGTTTCACAAAAATAATTTACTTAATTATCTCTATGTATTATGCAGACTAGATTAGCTGAAGTATGCAAAATCTGTCTTAAATTTGTTAAGGACAGATGAAATTTTTGACTTGTGGGTAACCTGAGTTGATGTTGAGTTGACATTTGCCCAAGGGTAGGAAAAATGTAAAATAAATAAAAGTAATGCGTATCTATGATAACAAAACATTTCTTCAGTGCTTTATGGAGAAAATAAAATAGTGATATCCCGCATTACAGGGTCACTTAGAACATGATATGCCTGAGGTTACCCAGGAGGTCAGTGGAAGAGGTGAGTGCTGGAGAACATTGCCATGCTCTGCTGAATGGGGTCACCAACACCACGGGAGAGCCACGGCATCCGTGGAGCTGTGCCCACACATCTGCTGTCTGGCAGGGTTTCCTGGGAGAAACCAGCCACCAGCCAGCCACCACTGTGTCCTCTCCATGGGACACCACTGGAGTACATAACCCAGCTCTGCTGCAGCATGGCATACTTTACAGACTTCCTGTGCCATCTTCTGTTTCCCAGTCTCTGCAGCCAGGATAATCTCAATGATATGGTTCCATTATCAGTCTATTATTTTCTCTGGCAGGGAGAAATGAGGGCTTGACACCTTTTCTACCACCTCCAGTTACCCACAGATATTTTGTGGTAACAAATTCCTCTGGCATTTTCATGTTTGCTGGTGAACATGCTGATCTGCAAAACCCAATCCTTGCCACAAGATTGCTGGTCAGTGTAGATTAGTGAGGTTCTGCTGGAATGTTTCACAATGAAAATAGGAAGCATTGTTGTATAACAAGAAAGAAAAAAATTTAAATACCTTCATTTTCTATAGTGTCAACTACATTGTTGACAAGCTGTATGACAGTCACTATGGAAGCTTGCAGGGGAGGGAAAGTAGAAAATAAAGGGAGGGGAAGGACAGCTTCAGGTTAGTATTTAAAACACACATCATATGTTACCACAATAAATTCTCTCAAAAGACAGAACTGACATTAAAAAAAAAAAAAAAAAAAAGCTGCTGACCAATGCATGATTTATGCAGTGGTTGCAGGACATTTCATTTCAGATAATCCCATATATCATCAGAGTGGTGATAAATTCCAAACCAGCATTTCCAGAAAGGCATATGGGATGATGTGTATCACCTCATAAATTCAAGCAGACTGGTCAGCTGATTCAATTAAACAAAGCAGTATCTTGTCTACCTGACACTAATTTCTAATTCATTCTTGCTTAGAGGTCTCTAGAGATGGTGCCATGTGCTCCAAGGATCATTATCTTTTAGACCATCACACCATCAGAAACGGTGTTAAGCTCAATCTATTTCCTAAGAGGAATGTTTTACTTATTTACTGTCTGTGCCATGCCAAGTAATACCTCAGGGAGGTTAAGCAGCACAGCTATAATTAGGAGGACATATCCATGGAGATGAGGTTCGAATTTTGACCTGTGTTTGACAGAATAGTTTCACAAATGCTTTGTGCATTCTCTGCAGGTGTTCCAACAAAACATACTTTTCCCTTGAAATAATTAATATAGACTGGGCAGCTGTTTAATGTGGAGGCCTATAATGTGTGGTCTTCTAGATGATGCACCACCTAACAGAGCTGCCTCTGAGAACATGAGATAAACCCCATCAAAGCTGAAGATAAAGCTCTGGATGAGTGGGCACTGGATCCTTTCCTTATCCTTTGCCTTTAGTTATGAGAAAACCAAGTGCTTGGAGCAGGCTGAGAAGGGGAACAGAAATGTGGGGCAAAACGTACTTTTTTGTTTCACACAGCCAACAGACTTAGAAGTCACAAGAAATGTGTTAACATTGTGGACATACGTTGAGTATTTTCACACCTTTACTAAAATCTGGGCATAGGATCAGGTATATAATCCAATTTCCTCAGTTCTAGTGAGGGCTTAGCAAAAAGAGCCTTGATAAATCAAAGGACTCCTGTTCTGTGTCTATGATCAGTATATTTATGCCATCAACAGCCAAGGTAATTATACAAAGGAGACTTGTACTGGCTAATGCAAAATAAACGTTATAGAAAAATAAGGATCTCCATGCAATTAGTACTGCATGGAGGGCAGCTGTAAACTATTAGAGGAAAAAAATAGGAGAGTGAAAACCAGGTCAGAAACCAGGGCCAGCCCAGTTTTCTTTGCAACTAAGGGCTGGCTCTGGTGGGAGCTGTGCAGAGCACGTTCACAGAAAGGAGGGAATGCCACTCCACACAGCTCAGTGCAAGTCAATGCTCAAATACAGCATTTCTCAGGTTTTGGACTACAAAAATTACTGCTAACTACCTACAGAAAGACTAGGGAAGCTAAGTAATTTAAATGCAGAAGAAATAAGGTGAGAGAAAAAAAGTAGCTTCAAAATCTCACCCCATGTGAGTTTTCATGGTAAGACAAGCCCTTGACACAGCACCAGAAGGCTCCAAGAGCCCTAGAGAAAGGAGTGGAGGCTGCCTTCACCTTCAGTGGGATCCATCCCAGTGCTCCACTGCCTCAAGACAGGCTTCCCCAGACAGAAGCTGCTACCCAGTTTCACAAGTCAGTGTCAGCACAGCCATTTGTACATTTGTGTGACACAAGCCTGTCCCCTCTGCTAGCCTGAGAGCCCAGCAGCATTGCTCCTGGCTTTGGAGAAAGGGGTTTGTAGAAGGAGCCACTGTCCTGTCTCATCAAAGATCATGGATGCTGAACTGCATTTGTTGTGGTTTCACTGACAACCTTCTAACCTTTGCAGGTATGTGAAGTACAAAGAATTAAAATGACAAGAAGAGCAAGGATTTATGGCTTCAGGAGGCATATCCTTTAGCCCTAAAGTACAGGCATGTGAGTATGTATATGTTTACTTATGCTTGGCTTTGCCCTTTAGGCTCTTTCACTGCAAACCTTCCCTGCTGCTTCAAGCAAACCAGAGCATGTGGTCCTGCATCGATCTCTGCAAATTACTCAGATGATTTAAGTTTCTTCCCTTCTTCTCCCTGAAGATATGGATTTGTTTGAACCCTGAACTAGAAATGTTATCTCTAAAGGCCATATTTTAAATGCAGCTTTCACAAAAAATGAGTGGGCACAGAAGGTCCAATCCAGCTTCTGTGGGCACTGTGTCAATGGTTTCAGTGGAGACAGGATCAGGCGTTTGAAATGTCTAATTAGAATTTGGGAGATATAAAAAGTAGCATTGTACAATAAATGACCACTTGAATAATTACTCCAAAGGTAACTATAATATAAATATATATAATTAAATAATACTTATTCTAAAGAAAGGCCAAAGGTTTTTTTTTTTTTGGTGCAGGGGTAGGAAAGTATTGAGAAGCCTGACAAAAATAATTGTAATGCTGCAGCCACAGCAGACCAAAAGGAACTGCAAGTGTACTTTGCTATCAGTGGTTTTTCCAGCATTTCAGAGTTCCTAGAGAACAGCTGCATGACATGGCTGAGGAACTGAGTCTACACACAGTTCATTAACTGGTGGCTGAGAAAACCAAGTACTATTTCTTTGTGCTAGTCTTTTTCTGCATGTCTGAATAAAGCTTCCCTGACATCCCCCATCCCTCTCCAGCAGAAACATCTTGACTTTTCTCGGGCCCACTGCTCAACATACGTGGGCTGCAGGAACAAAGGTTTGCTTTGACTTTGTGGCCTCTTTGTGGGCACTGTACAGCTCTGCCCATGTCACCCCCTGAGATGAGGATGCAGGACATGAGAGGCAGGCACTGAGTATGCACTGAACAAGGATTTAATGGTGCTCTATTGTTTGCTGAGCTGTGACTGCCAGGGAGAAGCCAAGATGCTGGGGACTGGCTCATCTGCTCATTGTTGAGGCTGAGCACCAGCAGAGTTCTGTTAAGACCATGAATGAGACCTGGAAAATAGCACAGAAATCCCCTTTATTTGATTGGTGAAACATGAAAGTCATGCTCTTCCAGCAAGGAAAATGATATAAATTCTACAGTTTCACTTGTAACCTATTAGTCAACTTGCATCTTGGCAATGTGACTCTGCTCTATCATACCTCTAATTCGCTGTAAAGTTTGGTCCTGATACAACAGCCCCAAGCACCAAGATTTTTATTACATTCCTATAATTTATTAAGTGGAACACGAAGTGAGGGTTTGAACCCACCACTTTCTTGCTTTAGGCATCGTTAAAGGGTTTCGAGATGTCACATGAATGTTTTAATAACATTAGAAAGAGAGATAAATAGCTTTTCCCCCAGCATAATAAAGATGAAATCACTTCTTACCATTATCATCTCCAGAGTCAGATTGGAAGGAGCTGAGGGACTGTACTTCAGAGTTGCTGCCTTTATTACTTCCTGAAAAACAGGTGACTTCTTCAGCGTCATCAACCCCTTTACCTTCATTGACAGCAAAGACAAAGCAAAATGGTACTCTCTAGGTATGCACATTTATCTATTTATACCATGGATACAATTAAATCCTGCCTTCTGTTATTTGAATCAGAATAAAGTTATTTCCTTCACACAGAAGACACGACCTATTCAAGGAGGCAGTTGGTAAAGATACCTAGACTTCTGAAGTGCTTGAAACCCAAAGAGTCTTTCAAGTGGCTGACAACACTGTAATCAAGGAAGAAACATCACTATTCAATATTGTCTTTTTAGATGACATATAGTCTCAAAAGCAATGAAAGTGATGACTTAAGGAATGTGGTGGTATAAACAGCTTATACAAGAGATTATAGTTACATTTATCTTTACTGTTCATTTCCTAATTTGAGAGCCTCATTAAAGGCTCATTCAATGCTCACTAAAGTTACTGTGCATCTTGTTATTCATATCAGTGGCCCTTGGATCAGATTTTAATAGCTCCATCACTGACATATAATAGATTATGCTTCAATTTACATTGCTTTTCATCAGGGACATTCAGTCTTCACAGCTCTACTGTTTAGAAATGTAACTGCAACCTACGGTATAAATTCTCCTGTAATTAAGCACATATAAATAAACACATTCAACTACACATTATATGGGCAATAATCATCAACACAAAAACTTATCCTCCATTGTAAGCACTGAGATACCTGAGCAAATTATAAATGAAGAAACTCAGGTGCTATCACAGTGAAAGTACAGCTCTCCACCTCACAGCTGTAGGTATTTCTACCCAGCATGAGACACCTCCACATGGTAAGAGCTGATTTGCTCCTGCTGAGCAGCAGGGTATGGAGCTGATGGAGTGAGTGCTGCAGTAACAAAGCTGCACTGCTTCCTACTCTGTGACAGCTGAGGTCTGTCTCCCTGGTATGGCCTCATGGTGTGGAGATATTCATACCTGTATCAGCAGTGCCTCTGGCACAAACACCCAGGATAATATAGAACAGAGCATATGTGGGGGCTGGTGTGATGATGCTTTCAATCAGCATTACTGTATTTAAAGGTTTAAAAGGTCAGACACAATACAACCCTGAAATACAGCCCAAATATACGAAAATTAATTCAATTTTTCATTATAAGACCTTAGCCAGTGTGCTGCCTTGGATGAAAATGCATGAATTAGGGCACAGGTATAGAACCATAAACTCTGTAGGGCTGGAAAAGACCTCCAAGATCATCAAGCCCAACCTTTGACTGAACATCACTATGCCAACCAAACCATAGCATTAAGTGCCACGCCCAATCACTTCTTGAACACTTCCAGGGATGGTGACTTCGTGACTTCACCACTTCCCTGCGTACCTCGTTCCAAGGCTTAACCACTCTTTCAGAGCAGAAATTCTTAATGATGTCCATCCTGAACCTCCCCTGGCACAGCATGATGCTGTTCTCTTGACCTACTGCCAGATTCCTCTCTCTATTCCTCAGTTCCTACTGCTTTCAGCTACAGGACTGGATTGTGCAATTTTACTTGACAATTTTGGTAAAAGCTGTGCTGCAATAGGGTTGAAGATCACAGAATCATGTATCAGTTTGGGCTGGAAAGGACCTTAAAGATCATTTGGTTCCAATTTCCCTGCCATGGGTAGGGAACCATTCACTAGATCAGGTTGCTCAGAGCCACATCCAATCTGACCTTGAATACTTCCAGGGATGGGACATCATCCACCCTTCTCTGAGCAACCTGTTTCAGTGCCTCACCACCCTCACAGTAAAGAATTTCTTCCTAATAGCTAATCTAAACCTACCCTTCTTCAGCTTAAGGCCATTCATGACTACAGGCCCTTGTGAAATGTCCCTCTCCAGCCTTTTTGTAAGCCCCCTCCAACAGGTACTGGAAGATGCATTAGAAAAAAAATCCTAATGAAAGAAAACACCCATAAAAATCATATATGGTGAAGCAAACATCTCCCAGTCCATATGATACGTTCTGACTTGCAAGGATAGTTCCAGAAAACTGGTATTTCCTGTCATGACAGAAGATGTGAAGTTTGCTGCATCTCTAGCAACTCATTCAGAAATGGAGGAAGCACTGCGTTATCAGGTGAGGAACATCAGAGCACAAATAGGGTAAGTGTGGGGATTGAAAATTCCATGATGACTCTGATACTGAATGCAGAGGGGAATGCAACGGCCTGAAAAGGTGATCCCATACATCAAGCAGTATGTTATTTTCTGCTTCATTTCACAGACTCTGAAAGTAGGGAATTAGTTCATTTCTCCCTGATGCAAACCAGAACTGCTTCTTGCAGGAGGTTTAAATATTTTTAGCTCCCTTGGGAAACAAACAGCCTCAACCTAACAGAACTTATATTTGAGAATTCTGCCCCAAATTGTTTTTTTCCAATAGAAAGATGATTGCATTGTATCACTCGAAAAATGCTCAGAGCACTTACTCATATATGCTTTCCAAACAAGTGAAAGAAATGCTTTCAGTCATACTTCATGCATAGAAGTAGACGTCTTGTATGTCTGCTTTAATTATAACCTTTCAAAATTAAACCAGATCACTTCTTGGAGAAATGTAGTAATTCACATGTGTTAGGCTGGAGCATTAAGAGTACCTGCTGCATCCTGAAGGCAACCCCCTTCCCACTGGCAGGGAAGAACGAGACCGGCACGCAGCGATACTTACTTTCTGTCCCAGCATCCCATGTGCTCTTCCTGATGGAGTCACAGTCGGAGCGACAGGGAGACACAGCAGGCAAGTTTGGAGCTACACTGCACACCACCACCCCCCTCCTGGCTGTCAGTATTCGAGGGGACTCGGGATGAAACGTTGTCATCTCCTGGTGCTCCACACCAAGCCCATCCACTATCTTGTCCAGGTTATTCCGTGAGTCACTCTGGAAGCACGGGGTATAGGCCATTGGCCTCACTGGCACCTGTGGAGGCCCAACCTCTTGATAGATATTTCTGCTGTCTCCACTGTTCCTGATGTTCTTGAATTGGATGCCATTGCTCTTGTTGAGCAGGGCTGCAGTAGCCGGGTCCTGCACGAGCGTGATGTTGTTGCGGGAATAGTTCTTCCTGAAAACTTTCTTGCGAAAAATGATGAAAAGAACGATTAACACAAATATGACAAACAGGACCACGGCTATGCCTATCAGCTCCTCCTTGCCAACGTAGGAATGCCCAGCTTGTATATTGGGAACCACCACGGGCCGAAGACCACAGTATTGACCCACATAGCCAGGGGTGCAGTTACACAGAAAGGAACCAAAGATGTTGACACAGGAGCCACCGTTTTCACATTCTTCTCTTTCACACTCGTTGATGTCTTCTTCACACCTTAAAAGAAAAAAAGGAGAGTCTGGGAACTGGAGAACATCTAAGAAGCAGTCCAGCTTGAGCATGATGCCTTATCTTGTCAAAATTGTGCCATTAGTTAACACCTTGCGGTACTTTGCAAATTATCCTATTATTATCATATTATTGAACGGCATTTAATTTTTTCTACAGTCATTACATGGGTTTTTAGAAGACAATAAAATGGAAATATCAAGAAGGAATTAAGAGCTTAAAGCATCTGACAGATACCAAGAAAGAAATAAAGGATATGATAGGAAAAGGCTCCATGACCCATATGAGGCTTACCGAATGTAACAGAGAATCTGCTTTTTATATTGTTTTTGGACTACCCCATGGGTTTCAATACAAAATATTAGTGAGGGGGATTCAAGGAAAAGACAGTTGAGAAAAAATACAGTAAAAAATTCAGAGTGTTTATTGAAGGAAGGAGAGGAAGGAGAGAAGAGAGAAGAGAAGAGAAGAGAAGAGAAGAGAAGAGAAGAGAAGAGAAGAGAAGAGAAGAGAAGAGAAGAGAAGAGAAGAGAAGAGAAGGATACACTGACTATGTAAAACTTTTTAGGTCTGGAGATAAACAAATATTAGAGGCAAGGGAAAAAAAAGAACGGGAACCATAAAGAGAATTTGAAAGAACAAAAGGTAGTAAAATGCAGAGGAATAAGTACAAACAGTAGACAAACCAGACGAGGGACAAAGCATGTTGATGGGCAGGTGGAGATTTTCTGTCTACACCAAGTTTACGATCAAGGCAGGGATTTTAAAAAATGACTGCAATAAATTAACCTTTTATGTCAGGCCTAAGGTGACTAAATAATTGATCCATTTTCAAAACAAAGATTACACAGCAGCTTCCACAGGTTTTATGAGATTGTTCAAAAAGCTGGCAACACTTAGATAGGTGTATCTCAGAGAAAACTGTCTTGTGTTAACATCCTGAATCAACACTTTGGAGGGTTAAGGTCAGGAAAAACTTTTCTGAGCATGAAAATCTCAGGGATTTCTCAGCTGCCATTAGCTTAGGCTTGGAATAAGTGCTAAGGTTGAGGTTATTTTTCGTGAGATGAATCATAGCTGTTGGATACAAAGTGACTGATCAAAAGGCCCACCATCACTGAGCCAAAAAGCTCCCATTGCCCACCTGGGGAGGGACACTTACGTTACTCCTGTCAGTCCATTTTTGCAGCTGCAGATGAAAGCATTGCCGATGGGATCACATGAGCCTCCATTCCTGCAAGGATTTGGGAAGCAGGCTGTGATCTCTGACTCACAATTCCGTCCTGTAAACTGCGAGAGGCAATTGCAATGGTACCCTGGGAAGTGAGGGACAGAGAGAGGGAAATTAGACTCCCACCACTGCGTCTGTCTAAAAGCAAGAGGATCCATTTGGCTGCTTTACACAGAAAAATAAATTGTACTGTGGGGTCAAGGGGATGTTTACACTCATTGTGGTCTATTCCATGTGGTTCACACATTGCTAGTCAAGAGTCTGTCTATCTGAGATGCCCAGACAACCAGAGCTCACGTCTACAACCAGCTACCAGAGGAATTGCTGCAGCCCAGACCATTCTAATTGTCATGATTCAGGTAAAAATTACTGTAATTTGCAAACACCTTTTAAGAAGGATAACAAGAAATATTCCAGATCAAGGATATATTTCCCAAGTTTTTGAAAATGTTTGCTGATAGTGGCAGTCTACTCTCCTTTTTGGACTTCACCCACGAACAAATACCAATCAGCTGAGAGCTTTTCCATCTCTGCCCTTTACAAGGACAACACAACAGGGAAGTGACAGCAATAAAACATCAGTTTTACAAAGTGCATCATCAAGGCAAAAACTATAAACTTCAAAATACCAGCTGACCTGGGCAATACCAGCCCTAATCAGAGCTGATTATGTTCAGTGTACGCCACCACATTCTGATTAATCACTGACTGCAATTCATCAGACACAACAACATTCATGTGGAGGGCGACCCTGTCTGGAATTGAAGTCCCATTTCTATGTTTTTTTGCCAACACAGGGGCAACATCAAAATGACAAATATATTTTTTTTCTCTCCCTGTGAGTTCATATGGCACAATGCCATTAATAAAATCTTTATTTAAGGTCACAAAGAAATCCAGTGAGGCAGTGCATCTTTTAAGGCTGTGAACTGGATATGGAAATCTGACTGCTTTTTCACTTGAAAAGAGCATGGAACATGTAGGCTGTGAAAGCCATGAGATAGCTAAGACAGTCCCTGGAAGTGGAAGACTCCTAAGTTAGAGCTGTTGAACCAGCAAAATTTTCCTGGATGTCTGTAAAAAAATTTTGGATGATCTTTTAAAAAGTTCCTTATATAATCCAAATGTCCTAAACAGATGTGTAGGCAAGGTTCAAGTTCCAGTTATGGGGTTCACATACTTAGTGAATATAGCATTTTAAGCAGCTAAAACAAGGAACCTTCCTGCCATTAATACGGCCGCAGTTAGAGCTGAAATGGTTGAGTGCAACTCAATTCAGTGTCAAAATTATTGGCAGTCAAGCTGATGTTGTGGAAATATCATCTCTCAGTGGTGAGACTTTTAAACGTATTTTAAAAACTTTCTATATCTGTACATCTGGAAAAAAGCTGAAATACTTGTTTTTTAAAGTTACTCTTTTTGCAAACATGGCAGGAGCTGCTAGCACAGTTACAAGGAAAAGAATTTCATGGAAACAATATGGAACAACCCAATGAAGGCATAAGGAACAAGCAATTCTGCATCAAGACTCCCACATCTTTTATGTCCTATACGGTTCAATTCGCCTTGTTCAGTTACTCTAATTGAATTCTTTCATGAGGACAGGCTCTTGAGAATAAACTTGGAACCAGACTCGCTGGCATACTCAGTCAAGAGCCCAATGCTATTTAATTGAAGATAAGTGAAATACTCAAATATCATGCTGTTTCATTGTCCTGCTACAAGAAGGGAGACAGACACACTGATCTTTCCAAGGTTACAGAGTTAAGAAGATAAATTATTCAACTTTTGGGCTTCCAGAAAGCATGTTTAGTCAGCAGCAGCCAGATGGGATTATTTCTTTTTGTGTCTTAAAAGTATCTCACTCAAACAATGTGAACAGCTTTCTGGACCTATCTGATCTGGGTCTGAAGAATTACAAACCTGTGACTGTAGGTAGAATTCACAGCATGAATAAATAAGGCTGTTTCAGTGCTTCCTTTTTATGACTGAACAGTGACATCTATAGTTCAAAAATTTACAGTAATGTTTTTTACAGTCTCAATGAGTTTAAGCAAAAGGAGAATGTTCAATTCAAATATAAACCACTTTATTCATAATCAATTCTGCTGCCTTATATAACAGCAGAATATATATGCTATTCTATTTGTTATCTGGTATTTTAAAAAACTCCATAACTCTAAAGTGATGTTAAAAGCCAAGTTTCTGTTGTTTTTCAACCAAGTTCTTAGGTGCCAATCATATGCAAGCCAAAGCCTTTGAATCACTTTCTTTTCATGTCTTGTTTTTGTTTCAGCTAAGTTCTAAGTTCTGTTCTGTAACATATTCTGTTTACATTTTTTCATTATAAAAAAAAACTTGATTAAAAAATACTTCTACTACCAACTATAAAAGAAGCATGGATTCATGCATTTTATACTAAGAAGAGATGGAGCTGAATGCACCAGATGGGTCAGAGCCCTGTCCAGCAGTGTATGAAAGGGATCAAAATAGAAGTCTGCTTCTGAAAGCCTACATTTTTCACGCAATTTGATTTAATGATGGTGGAACACACATCAGATATTAGAAGACTAAAGTATATTCACTGTAGATTCTAAGGATCAAAGTTAGAAATAAAGAAGGCACTAAAACAAGACAGTAATAAATTACCATATTTATCACTGGTGTTTCCTCTCGTTGGACTCACTGCCATACACCTGCCAAGTCCAAGCCACTGGCAGAAGACACAGAACTTTTCCATGACACACATGCTCAGAGCTGCAGAGTATTCACCCAGGAGGTCTCCAACACAGCAAAGCATATGTCAAAATTCATGGAGTGAGGAAGACAAGAGCTGATATGATGGCTCAGTAGACAGTATATAGCAGCTCAGCCAGAAGACCTGCCAGACCTTTAATCCTTCTCCAAACCTCTCAGCAGAGGCTGTAATTTTGCTGGCTACTGCATATTTTAGCCACATGGCTGTGGACAAAGGTAAATAGTAAAGAAAACCCTTCTGGCTGCGAGTGCATCTTAGGTCTAATAAAGGATTTTTATTATATATTTATAATTTAATATCCTGCTAATGTACCATTCATGTCTTCCCTCCTGTTTTGAACAAGAATAACATGCCAACTTCTCACATTCAAGGATGAGAAAAAGCTCAGTGTCCTGTCCTCTAGCAAGGGATGAAAAAATCTCTTTTAAACAATGTACGGCTTGATCCTGTTCACAATGAAAGCACTGAAGACTTGAAAATTCATCAACATTTAATATCATACAGTCCATCTGAGCTTCCTCCAAGAGGAATGAATATTTCATTCCTAGAAATGTTGATCTGCATTCTCCAAGGCAGCTAATTTTGTGATGTCACCAATGTATTTCTTCAGAGAGAATCAGTGGAAAAAGACAGGAAGATCTGGAAAACACCTCTGAAATGCTTCTAGGGTGGGACCACAACATTCTCAGCATGTGTCACAGCAGCATGTACCAACAGCTGACCTAAGAGCAACAAGCTGTGAGCAACAGTACAGCCTTTTTAGGCTGTATCTACATTAACAAGTCCTGCAAAGCAGCAGCAGTGGGTCTGTGGAGCCAAACAGCTGGTGCTGAGGAGCCAGTATCCTCACTGTTTGCAGCTCAGGCTTTGGGACCAGCTGTCTTCCAATTCAGCTTGGTCCTGCCCTCTGATTCCTTGCCTCTCCACAGCGGGAAGTGAAGCCCAGGGAGAGATGACGATCAGAAGATTTGCATCAAATACCACTCATGACCTGAAACATTATGTGAACATAGGTCTACACATTGTCTTGGGCTTACTGGTTGTTTTATAAGGCTTCTCTCTTGCTCCTTTATAAACCTGAGTCCCCTAGTTAAATCTCACCTTCTCAGTGTGATGCAAACAGCTTCTCTTACTGCTCCCTTGGCATGTCCCTATCCAGAGGAAAAGGTGTTTTTCATCCCAGACCTTACTGAAGAGCAGCATGCAGTAAGACAGGACTCTACACAGACTCCCTGCCTCTACCTCTGTTTGTTTGGCACTCAAGAAGCAGAGGCAGCAGCACAAGGCAGGCACGGTGCCATCAGCAGATGGGGTGTCGTTATGTAGCGAACATCTCTGTTGGTAGCATTCCCAGCCTGAGCATCTGAATGTCTGTCTATCCTAAGGTTTACTTGGCTTTATTAAAGAGGATGCTCCAAACTGCTGCCAATTTTTTTTTTTTTTTTAACATGTGTATGTTCCTGTTTCTATCTATCCCATGCAAAACAGGCTGGCTTTTATCTGTTAACGTCCTTTGGCTTTTCCCGGTTTCTTTTCTTTTCTTTTGACTTTTTCTGGCCTCTCTGTGTAGTTTCTCTCCCTGCTATGCAGCTAGACCTGACAAACTCGATGCCCAGAAACAGCCCTGCCCTTGGCATTGACCACACAACGTTACATGCCAAGTTAACTGATGAGAACTACTGAAGGAGAAGAGGACCTCTCTCAGCACTTGTATTTTGGTAGGTCTATAGTCAAAACATGCCACCTTCAAGAAGAGTGTATTCTTCCACCATACACAGTCCTGCCACTCCAGATTTAACTTATCTGTGTTCAAATAGATGATTGCCTCTTGCCACTTGTTGGTATGAAAATGAACCTCAGTCTTTGCTGAATCAGTGCTTTCTATGAGAGGATTGGCATGTACATGCTTTTAAGGCAGGAATTTAAGAACAGATGCCTATAATCACAGATATAAAAAAGATTAAAACACACCCAAAATTTCTAAAAAGCTTTTAAAAAATAATTGATGTGCATTTGGTATACTCACATCACAGAATGCTGGGTTGCGTTTGTGTGTAAAAAAGCAAGATCAAGAACATTAGTAAGACCAGGTCAATTCTGTGGTATTACACTAATTTTTCCCTTATTTCTTTCTTATGAACTACTTGATCCTTGAAACCAGCTACGAGTAACAGAATTTAAAGCATGTATTAAACCCACCACTCAAGTGCCATGTTGCATTTTCTCCTCCCTTTGGATTTTAGTTCTGTTCATGAAAAAAAAAAAAAGAAAAAAGAATAGAAGAAAAGTGAAGAGTAGGGAAAGCAAAACGACTTGATGTCCTCACACTCTGCCCACAGTCCTTGACTCAGTAGGTATTTCTGCTCAAATGCTTCATGTTCAAATAAAATCGCCTACTCATATAAGCCATTTACTTTAATCAAAGCCAGATGTATATAGGACTGATCAAATTAAAAGGAAGTAACTATACTTATAATTGCAGGCTTTACAAGCATGAGGTTTCTCTCTGTGGTTGAAAACCTTGGTGCAGTCTTTGCATGTGATTACAGTAAAGCTTTCTATTGCTGCGATTGCTCACGCTGTTACTCATGCAGATAAACATACATTTACTATTGGCAGCCCTGGAAGTGCCACACTATTATTAAGGTTGTGTGACATTTCCCATTTCAAGACCTCATATTCAGCAGCTTATAGCTTAACCACACTTTAAACACTTGGTTGAATTTTCTTGGGAAATTTCAGTTCAAAGAGCCAAGCTGTTTCTGAAAGTCATGCTGTTCTTCAGGTTTCAAAATGTTAACTTTCTTTAAAAATAGCTTTACTGACCCATACTTATGGATAGGGACTTAAAAGTCTGGAAGAATGTGGCCTATACTTCAGGGCTGTGGTTTCCACTGTCTCCCAAGAAATTGTCCTGAGTATGTTTCTTTCTGCTATAAGTCTCCTGAGCTGTCAGATCTAGTGAGGGTGCATCCCCCTCTGCCAACCCCTATGTAAGCATGCATTGTATCTCCCCATGGGGTCTCTGGACATGCAGTCCCCCCTCTTAAATCATTGACATCACTCAGCCAACACTGCTGCCATAAGAGCAAGCAAAGGTTCATGTCATGGTCACTTTCTGCTGGCTCAGCAAACAGAGTTTGAAAGCAGAGAGGCTTTTCTGTACTCCTGGAGTTCCCACCTGAGCTGTCTGTGCTCTCTCATACAGGCTGACATCCCCATGCTGCTCTGTTCCATACGCAGGGAGGTCAGGCAGAAAGAGGCACTGTGGGTCAGCTTAGCCCTGTGCCAGCCCAGCTTTGGGGCAACACCTCTGTGGTCAGTCCTGAGCTCTGTGCAGCCCAGGCACAGCCCTGCCCTGCGCCAGGTGCTGTGAAGCTGCTGGGAATGCATCCATCCAAGCCCTAACAGCAGCAGCATGGACACTCTCCTAGTGCATACAGAGCACTTCCCCAAACAGGGCATGGTGTGACCCTATTCCCATAACCACAGGATGAAGTGAAAGGTAATTGAAGCAGTTTTTTTATTAATGGTGAACAGGGCAGTGGGCATTTCTACTGAAAGGAAGATCTCACAACAGGAACATTGTTACTGAGGTTTGTGTCGTGGATGTTCAATTTATGCAAATTATATGTAAATTAGACATGGCCTCTCTGACTTCTGGTACGTAGCCAGCAACTCTTTCACGTTACAATGTTGGGTAACCTTTGCTTGGCTATTTTCTTCTTAAGTTAGCTACAAATCTCAGCTTGCTTTCTCTCTCTCCTAATTTTCTTGTAAAGCACAGTAGGTTGTCCATAATAAAAAGGATGCTAACAGTACATGAAATCTGCTTTGTAAAATTTGAATTAGAGGGTGTATTTATAAAAAAAAAAATCTTATGCCAAATACTCTCTGTTTAGAAAAAGGAACGTTATTCTCCAAAAAACTGAAAAAGAAGGATGATATCATAGAAAATATTAGCCAAGAGATTCTGATGATACTGAATGCTCTGTGACGGGGAAAAGAACCTTTGAATGGTGTATTTTTGCATTCTTCCCCTCACCAAAAGAGGAAAAAGCTGCCATTCTCATTCTTTAAAAAATTCTTAAAAGAATGAAGTTTGTTTTTTTTCTATTTTAAATGGAAGTCAGCTGCTAACATCTATGCCAGCAAGTGCAATGGTTGATGGTTCTTGAATGCACATTGCAATTTGTGGCTCTGCAACTAGGACTTGTAATGCTGTTGGACTCTTGTGCTCTTAGAATTTAATTATGTGGCCTATATGGAGGACACTATCAACAGAATTGCTTTGCCTAGTGGAAGCAAAAGTGCCCATGCCTTCTCCTTAAGGGCTGGGCTGTAGAACCACCGACATACAGTCAGGGCCCACTGCACTGGAATTATGGCTTTATAACAATCCTTTATTTACACACACTGCTGAGACAGTAAAAACAGCAAACAGATTTTTTGACGGCAGGCAGCCAAAACATCCCTGCAGGGCACATGCCCCTCGCTGAGGCAGGAACACAGGCAAGTTAAATCAGTTCTGTGACTGCTTTCCAGCAGCGAATTTTGCTGACATGAAAATGGTATTTGCCATTCCAGTAACAAGATGGGTCCAAACTTCAGGGCTGCTTGTTTCTCCCCTACCCCGTGTCTCCCCTCAGTTTGAACTGGCATGCACATAGCACTGGGAAAAAAAAAAAGAATTACTGTAAGGAGTTCTGTTAGAAAGATTTCAATTTACTCATCATGAGATTGCTGAGCAATACTGTAAATAGACTCAAATAAAATCAATAGAAGAAACTGTTCTCATGCTTCCTAGGATGTGAGGCGAATGGATAACCTCATTTATTAAATATGGACTCTGTATGTTCCTGTATATACTACAGCCATATTTCCTAGGAATTTCAATAATCATGCTTAGCAATTCTCCCAGTGGCTGAAGCATCCTTCTGTCTCAGAATTACTTTCTTTTGCATTTGTTGTGCAGCCCTCCTTTTCTCTCCTTCCTTTGGTAAATAAAGACCCTAAAGGACAAACACACATGCAGCAACAATTCTCCTCATGCCCCACAACACATCCTGGATTGCCACGGCTGTGCTTTGTTCCTTCAATTGTCCTCCCATCTCTTTCCATCAACAGCGAAGCCAATAGCATCCTTGATGCATCATTTGTGACAGCATGGGAGAAGAGGTGGCTGAATCAAAGCAAAGATCCAGAGGGGATGCTAGCTAAGACAGCCCAGCATGGACAAATCCACATTTTCAGGACTCACTCTATAAGAGTGGGGCCACTCAATTGAGAAACTTATCACAATTTTGCTCAGATCTCACCACATGTCAGTCTTGAACTGATCTGAAGTTTAGGCCTAAAAAAACCTGTGCAGTGTAGTGGAGAGAATTCAGAAAGAAAATATGAGAATCAGGCTTAAATTAATGAAAAACAGAAATAATAACTATGGGTACAAGGGAACTGCATGGACACATTAGAGCAGAAAGCCCTGGGACAGTGATTAAATGCTCCATAAAACAAGAGTTTAGTGGGAACTTCCCTAGAGAACCATGACCAAAACTCAGTAAGTGGATGGAAAGCTCTGAACTTGCAGAAAACCTCTCTGTTGAGCAATCTCCTTTTCAGGGGAAGTTCTATTCTGCCAGAAAAGGTGTGCAATGCTGCATTCTAATACAGTATGGGGAATTGGAAGGGAAACTCCTCCACTGAAGAAAGAGAACTGCCTGAGAGGAAATGTCCTGCATGTGTGCCATTTGCTTTTCTCCTGCTAACATGCTGACTGTTCTGGTAACTTGTGCACTGCAGTAAGTCACTGGCATCAAATCACACTAACCACCACATAACCACTGGACAGGAAACTCCAACACAAGCACAGTTTAAATCAATGCCCTATAAAATTTGGATAATATTAGTTAGAGCACTCAGGCCTCTGAGAAAGCTGTAAAATATAGTTCAGGGGGGTTGATAATGGGCCCAACTTGCTATTTTCCATGCAGACATGTAATCGAATTACTCACTTACAAAGGGACGAAGGTGTTTGTGGACAGCTCAGTAATTATTTGTGACAGCTTTGGAAACAGAGTAAGGCAACACTGCTGTTGCATCTGTGATGGACATTTCAAATCACCATCTTTGTGTACAGCCCTCAATGCTGTAAGGATGCTGTAAATGGATTCTGAAAAATCCAGCTGAACATTACAGTAATTGTAATTCTATTGGTTTCTATAGAAATAGGATTATACTAACAGCCAATAAATCAATTTCCTCCTGGAACACTAATGCAATGAGAAGGGGCACCATTTCACTGTTATTTATAGAGCAAACAGCTTTTACCCAATTTGCAGTACCTATCAGAGTTTTATAGAGTTCATGAGATTTTTCAAGCATGTTGCTGCATAAAACCATCTCTGGCAATAAATTACAGAGAAGAACGGGGAGGGGGGAAGGCCGTAAGGTAATGAAAACATTTACCACCAGATGGCACGGCAGTACAGGTGCCGCCGTTCTGGCACGGGTGTCTCTCACAGGCATCGGGATAAAGGACGCAGCCAAGCTTCAGCTCCGTCAGGCCGACCACTTCTGCGAAGCTGCTGCGCTTGTTCTGCAGGGGCAGCTCGTTGTTGTTGAGCACGACCGAGTCCAGGCAGCCCTGGAAGCCGCTCAGGACCTGCGTTGTCCTCTTGTCAGTGAGGCTGCGGACGTTGTCCACCTGCACCTGGGCGCCGAAGTAGACGGAGCTGTCTGTGCTGAGCGTCTGGAAGTACAGGGGCGCTTTGCGGCGCTCCACGTAGCTGTCGTCCAGGGACAGGCTCGTGAAATTGCGGTTCAGCTCCAGGAAGACCGAATGCCAGCTTCCATCATTAACGGCCCTGCCAGAAATTCCCAGGATTCCCGGGCCACTTCCGCAATCCAACTGGAACCAGAGTTTGCCATCGACAATCTGCAGGAGGAAAACAGAAATCAAACCGCTTCAGGCGCTCAGCTGTCTCGTAATACGCTCTCACAGAGAATCTGGAAGCACTGAGAACTTCTAGACAGTGTCTGCACACTCTTAGAGCTGCTCTCCTACATTACACTAAAACAGCAAAAAGCTGTGCCTTTATCATGAGCAAAAAAAAGTAAGGTCGAAAATATCAGCTTACTTCAAATTTGCCCAAGGCAAATTACTACAGGAAAACTAAAAATATAGAAAACCTTATGAGTGCAGAACACAGGTGAAAACCAGGATAATTATGTTTTACTGAACAGGATATGGACTTGAGGATCCTTGTTCTGCTCTTGGCTCTGCTGTTGAACAGCTGTGTCTCTCTCAGCACGTCCAATAGCTGTGACTCTGCTCCCAGCGGCTGATGCTATCAAAAGGACGGGCAGGGCACAGGATCACCTCTTAGTGTTAGAGAGGCTTGTGGCAAAGTCAATGGCCACACTTTCAGCTGGTGATGTTAGTACTCTGCTCATACAGGCATCCTGTGCTTCTGTAACCTTTAGGAGCATCTCAACGAGGTGTGGAGTTGCCCCTAAACATCCTAAGTTCAGTACCTCTAATTACAACAGTAAGATAGTAGTTGAACAAAAGTCAGTTATTTCCCAAAGATGTTACACAATCTACTGTGTGTATACTTCATAGATGACATAAGATGGGTCTTACTTTTCTTTCTTTCCCAATATTTATGCTGTACTCATAGATTTAGAGTTTGTAGGGGATTTCTCACTCTCCCTCCTGTCTCTCACCCATCCCAAGTCCTCGTAAAGGGAAAATCTGTGCTACTCTGCTGGGGCAGGCAAAGTGCAGAGTGAGGGAATGGGTATGAAGTGCTGATTTACTGATTAGCAGTTTACCCAAAGATTTTAGGTTTCCCTAACAGATGGCATATAAGTTTAAAACTGCTGACAAGGTTGGAAATAATTTCTTATGACACATTAATTGGATTCAAGTTCTCTGAAAGCTCTTCCAAGTATTTTACCTTTATGTCATGCTCTAGGAAGTATTTATTTCTGCAAACCCCATTTCAAGACAGTTCTGTCCCATTATTTATCCACCTCAAAAGTTCAGGTGCTGTGTCATTTTTCATCCTACCAGGCAGCTCACAATGTCCTCTCACTGGTGTATCTGCTACAGAGTCTGACTGCAGAGCAGAGCTGCCACAGCTGTCAGTGCAAGAACCTCACAGAGCTTTGGTGGCCTGCTGAATTGGCACAGCAAATGCAGATGTGAGGAAGGATGCTGCAGTGTGTCCATCTGCCTTTGGCCATTTCTAGCATGAACAGTCATGTTAGATGGAGACATCCCTTGGCGTGTGACTGTGCTCAAACTCTTCTCGGCCAGCCTCCCTGACGTGGCTTGAAGGTAAACAGCAAAGTGTTAATCTACAGGAGCAGACCATACTGCCATGCATTAGCATTTTATGTCCTTGGAGGTTGACAAAACTACCTGGAGAAAAGCTAAGGGTAAAATCTCGAGATGTGTAGATCTCTGGATTTCCTTCTCCTTTGCAAATGCTTGGTTTCTTGACTGGCTGACTCTGAACTGGACCTCAAGCCAAAACACACTGGGCAGTCGGGGTATAAACCACCCCCCTCTGTCAGTGATTGCTCGGCAGCACGGACACAGAGGTGCACCTCTAGGCATAGGAAAAGCTCCCTGCAGATGCCAGCTGCCCACTAACTCTGCATGGTTTGAGGGGGTGTAGAGGAATGAATACACACACAGAAGGAGCCAAGGGAAGGAGCTAGAATTAGCCCCTGCTATGAACACCCGGCTGTTTTGAAGTCCCTGATCTGCAGGATGTAATGAAACTGAGAAGGAATCAGATCTATGACTGTAATATATGCTTATGGGATGGATGTTGCTTGATACTCCTACAGCTCAATCAAATAAAGCTAATGGATGTATAGAATAATGAGTCTGGATCATTTTTCATTAAAAACCATTTTCTTACAGGACTCAAAACTCAGCCATAAACAGTTTCTGTAGATTGAAATTGGTTCTGTTAAAGCATTTTCTCAGGAGGAATCTTGGTAAACAAGATGCCCTGATAAACAGAGAATTTTTTTCTCTCCAGAGATGGAGCAATAGTTTCTTTCCTCCCTGTGCAACAAAACAGTTCATAAACATTGAAGGTGCTGCTCAGAAAGTGTGGTCTGTCTCACCAGGAATACAAATCAAACAGCAAAATGCATGCCAACATATTACACTTTGAAAAACACCCATCACTGGATAAGCAGATAACTTGCTGCTTACTCAAAAGGCTTTTTCCTATGGAAACTCTTCCACTGATTGTGTATAATATGCATACACCTCCCCTATGACTACTTATGCCCTGAAGGACCTACTGCCTGCGTGTCTATTACTCTTACTCACAGAACATGTTTTTCCAATTATCTTTATAAATACAACACCACATTTGAGCACCTGGGATAAATATTACACCATTTGTATACAGGAAACTATGATCTAAAAGATTCGCCATTAAAATATGTTTTATACGTCTTTCTCATCCATTTATATTTCTTTTTGCCAGCAGATGATCTGACATACACAGCAAATATATATTGTCTGAAGGGTTAAGTTTCCTTCCTGTTATTGAAGAAATATGAGTAACCTCTAACTAGAGTGAAAGATGGAAAGGATGGTCTGATGCTTACAGTATTAGCCTAAGACATGACAGATCTGCATGGGAATCCACACTCTGCAACATTCTTCCTCTGAGATCTCAAGCAAGCCATTAGTTTCAGGTCTCCATCAGTAAAAGAGGGGTAACGTCATTTCCCTACCTCACACCACTGCTTTAAGGATACATACATTAAAGACTGTGTGACATGCCCAGATACCCCTAGCAATGGGACCATAAAAGTACTTTAATTAATCAGATGGTCACAGGCCTTGCTATAGAGGGGCTGGGAGGAAATACTTGTCCCCTGATGGACCTCAAGGAGGAATAGGAAGAACAGGAAGAGCTCTCAAGCAGCAGATTCTGAAAAGGGCTCCGCTCCACTCGAGTGCTTAGCAGCTGGACTGGCCAGGCAGGGAGGGGAAGGTTCTTCCACCTAACAGGTAAAATTGCTGTCCTCATTCCCAAGCACAGAGAATTCAACCATCATTCAGAAGTTAATCCCTGGTGTTCCTGTGATTCCTTGTAGCCACTGAGATGTCAGGATCACTGCTCAGTCCTCAGAGGGGGCTCTTTGATTACAGCCTGGACCTTGGTACCAAGAAAAGGTGAACTTCAAGCTAACTGAGGGACATCAGGCAAAAAATATGGACATCCAGTGAACACCCAGGCTCTTGTCCAGGCTCAGCAGTACAATACCCAGACAATAACCTCAGTGGCATGGTTGGTCTGGTAGTGTCAGACTGTCAGTCCAGCACTGAATGTGTGGCGTTGCTTTTTTCATCCATCTATGTAGTGCAACACAGCAGAAAGCCTGAGTTACTCCATCTCACAGCAGAGACATTCAAATTTTGCAACCCCTCACCAGTGCAGCCCATGGCACCAGCAGAGACCCTCTTCTGCACCATGAAAGCAGAGAGACACTCCTTCATCCTAGCTGGGCAGAAAATTCCCACAAAGCTTCCACTTCCCAGAGCTTTCTAGGCTCAAGGTTTAGTTACAGTCTCAGTTATAACAACTGTGACAGAGAGGTTAATGTACACTTAAGCATATATGCCACAAGATGCTTCACCTGTAAAGAAGTTAAAAGAACAGTGAAGACTCCAAAAGCTGATGCAATCTGTTAGGTTTCAACAATTTCATTCAATGAGCAGAAAGGAGCCAAAGACATACTGTAAATTATATTAGAATATTAGTCTGGCTAAGCTGTTTGGCTAACATCCATATTTGTGTATCAACATAGGTAATAAAATGATCAAATGGTTCTTCTGAGACCACCTCCAGCTCACACAGTCCATCTGCAGTCAAACACCATGGATACAGCATGCTGCCTCCTAATCTATCTGGGGAAATATTTTGTTAGCTGAATTGCATTTCAGGTTCGTTTGTGTAAAACGGTGTATTTAATTAAAATATTACTCGTTTCAACTCCAGCCACAACTGGGATCATATCCAAACTTCAGTTCTATCCAGCATAAGCCATTCAGCAGTAATGCATTAAAATGTATAATACACACTTAACTAAACCACACAAAGTTTCACATTAACTGCCTGGACAGAAGAACATATGCTTGCCTTTTACCATTTAGCTGCCATATTTATGGCATGATGGGAAAGTCTTTCTTTACCTATTTTTAATCCTTAAAATTTCACAAAACAAGATGAATCTCCATTATATTCCTAGGAAAAAGAAATTGAATTTTCTTATGCAATGGTCTTATAATGGTTAATATGGTTAAATCTTACTTTTCTGAGTTAGATGCTACATAGGTAAAAAGAAAATGTTGGCACTGGTTTTGGGACATGCAATCTTTCCAAAGGGAAAAAAGCCAACATTGACCTGCATCTCATTTTGCTCCAATTGTCTTAAAAGCAAGAGCATGCAATAAAATGAACAAAAAACAAAACAAAACAAAACAACAAACAAAAAACCCCCAAAAAACAAAAGAAGAAAGTAAGGCCAACCTCTCAAAATCAATAGATGAGTTGCTTTATTTGAAGCAGCTGAATAAATAACACCCTTATTTTATTATATCAATACAGTGTAGCTGGTAGGCTTTCAGCAAAGTAGTAGACAAGCAGTTTCCTCTATGGAATTGATTATTCATCCAGGAAGGACACTGTGTTAAGATCATGAAATATTTCCATCCCTGGAGTTATCACAAATGTATGAGCTTCCAAAATTAAGCTGGTCATTTAAACACCAAAAAGCATATTGCAACATTAATGTTTAAACAGACTGCAATGGCAGAGACTTGCTTCAAAACAATCAGTGCCACTCTATGCCCTGACAGCACAGGTGTTTCCTTCCTATCTTCCCATGGGCTCATATTTTGTGGTCTAAATTTCTTTTACCTCTGCCTTTATTTGAAGCTCAGTGATGGTGTTGGGCCCTCTGATGCTAATCCAGTAGATACTTAAGTAGATGCTTAAAATTAAGGTATGTGAATAGTTCCATTTGCTTTCAAATACAGGAAGTTAAGCAAGTGATTAAGTGCTTTTCTGGAGTGATGCCAGAGTGCTCAAAAGAACACAGGATTTCATCCTTTATCCTCTATTTGGAAAGCTTCTCCTCATGTTTAATTTAATTGAAAGCAATGCTCAAATGATAACAACTTCACATTTATAGACCTCTAATTAATTTGCTTAATGGCCTCATTTCTGAGTAGCTCCCTACCTTCCAACATATGCACCTGGTTATAGAAAAAAAGGACGCCTTACCTCTGGTTTACAAATGAAAAAAAAGTGTGGACTTTAGAAAGTCCAAGCATAACTTCCTTGAAAACACCTGAGTCACAGATCCCCAAAGTGCAGTCCATGAGCCACCTGCTATCCCTGAAGAGACCTGATAGGGCTGAATCCCTTGAGCATGGTGCCATTTGTCTGTCACAGAGCACTTTTGTGAGAACACAGCCTGATATTCCGTGGCTAAAAGACCTTCACAAACTAAACTCTGACAATTCCTGATCCTTCCAGTGATGCCATTTCAAATAAACTATGCTGAATGTAATGATTTTGCTTCTTTTAAACCCCATGCATGCAGAAGCCCAGTGCCAGACCTGGGAAAAGGGCATACTCACTACAACAGTGAATGCTGCCCTACTGAAGAGCTGAGCATGAGGCTTTGTGAAGGCAATTCCCTATGTCCTCCCCTGATAAATGCACAAGAGAAAGCAGAGGCTTTGCATCCATACATGACCCTGGACCTCACTTAGCAGATGTGTGAGGTAGCAGCTGCATATGAAGCTCTCTACTTTCTTTCTTTGTTTTTTAGACCTAGGAAACAAAACAGCTTGACATATAGATTGCTGACTGAGATTGGAGCACAATAACCACAGCTCTTGTCACTGCTCCTTGAAGTATTATTTTTAACTTGGCATCTTTCAAAGCAAAATAATCAGGTGATTATGTGAAATGGGGACTGAAAACATGAGTCCTACCTCACAACTAAAAACTCAATTCAGGTGATTGCAAAAGGGGGGGGGTTCACTTGATTTTGGGGAATTTTTTTTTTTTTTTGGTAGCAATAGTACTAGCACCAGATTTTCTATTTTGGTGGCAAAACTTTCCTGCTTCAACTGGATATTTTTATTTTCACTCAGTTGTTTATGACCTGGATATGCTGTGCTCCTTAATGATGAGAGCTTTATACACAAAACTCTAGCAAAATGAATTATACTATCACCATTCTAACTCTAATTCAGGCCATCTCTGTATCATCTCCCATTGTTTTCAAGTGGCACCTTCCACCAGGGCCATTTGTTTTTTCCCAGGTAATTTTGAAATTAAAAACTTGCAAACATTACCTACTGACATATGCTAAGGGGAAGAATGATGAGGACTTCAAAGGTCTTCCAATCTGAAGTTTTGTTTTTTTTACACAAAAACATACGCTTGAAAGTTTAAACTGCATTTCTACATGTCTCAAAGCAGAGGTTGTCTTGTGTAAATCTGAACAATACTGACAGTTCCTGGTGAATGACAGACAGTACTCTTGCTCATTAAATACTTCAGTCTAACAGCTATGCAATTATTTGTTGCCCATTATTAACTCATCTAGCCACTTTAACATTACTTAAGCATTCAGCCAAAAGTACCCTAGATTGCAAATACAGACACAAAAGGCTCTGTGCCATTTCTCCCACTGCTGAATTATAGAATGTGGCTGAATTACAAATGTCAGTGTTTTCTTTTAGTACCTTAGAGGCTATAGCAGAAATACTATATATGCAGGCTCTTGGATGAGCCTAGTGCTCTCTTTCCATCCAGCATTTATTTACCATTCCAAGAAACCAAAAAAAAAAAAAAAAGATTACAAATGCATGGAAAGCTTATCAATTAAATATTGATTTGGTATCAATCTGCACTGACCCCATGACTCTCTTAACAAAGAATCTGAATCCACAGAGTGCAGAGTTCTTCATATTCAGTAGGAGACATGTTCTAAGTAGTTGATTCCTGGAATTAGCTCACTAACAGTGAGGGCATATCCTCTAACCACAGACAGGACAGAAGGGAAGAACAGCAATTTCAGCAGGCTTCGTTTTGACTACACAGTCATATAAATGGCCAAATCTTGCATCTTGTGCAGACTGGCTCCTGCACACAGACACACATAATGTGCTTATAATGAACAGCACCCAGTGGGGAATTTTCCAAGTAAAGTACCACTAACAAGCTGCTTTTCTGATCATTGTTGCTGCTGCTGTTGTTGAAATTGTTTTTCCCTGTTAGAATCAGACTTCATCTTCTCAATCTACAGCTGAAATGAGAACAGCATTCTCCAAATCAAGAGCCAAGAGAAAATACAGAATCAAGAAAAACAATTGCAGAAAAGAGAAGTTATTTTAATTACCTTCAGAATTATACAGGGATTCGCTCTGGTGTACATTATAATCCCATTGCTTTGCAGGGTTCGCAGACGGAGAGCCAACTTGAATTCCTCTTTCTTGCTATTTTCAGAAACACGGTATTTAATGTAGCTATTCCCAGCAAAGCTAAGGGAAGTGTGGCCTGAAACAACCATTTTGAAAAGACACATGTGCTTTTAGAGATACATAAAACAATTCCTCAACTGTTCAGTAATTAAAGAATTTATAAACTTAATGAGAATGACTAGGAAGAAATAAATAAGTCCCATTTTTGATGAGACAAAACAAAGATGGCATCTACTAAAAAAATATTTCTGCATTTCCATTTTTAAGCTGTTTTTCAGGGGATAGAGGAAAGTTCTATTTCTCCATACTTAAAAAAGAAAAAAACAAAATAGAGGTTTCTCCAAGTATTCAGCATTTTTCAGCTTATACACACTCCTGGAGGCACCAGTCCTGCCTCACTGATAACACAGGGAATCAAAGATGACCACACCTGTACATGAGGCAGTTGAGTTATGGGTGTCAAGTTACATGTGGGCAGATGACAGCCAAACCCTCAACCCCCTGTAACCAGTGCCCAGGACCACAGTTCAGTATCTGCTGTGCTTCCATCAGGCAAACAGCACAAATCCTCTGTCCTGCAGCCTGGGATTTGCTGAAATCATCAGAAAGCTCTACTTCACTGGCTATCCACCTGGCTCTTCATATCCCAGGGAACAACACAGATGCAGAGAACTAACAGATGTGCTGAAACTTTCTTTTTGGGATAGTGTTTTCATTAATAAAGGTTGGAATTTTGGTAATCTAAATAGTAAGCAGTAGAGTTAATTATAGAGCTTTGCCCATGGGCAGGAAAACATCTGGCATAACATTCTCTAGGAAAAAATCCTGTTTTCTCAGCAGCCTGTTTTACTGAGCTGGTATTCAAGCAAGCCAGTGGGAATTTCCAAACAGAAACTGGATCACAATCTACACACAACCCCATAGCTATAAAGACAAGTATTTATAGGGCTTATAAACAGACACCCCAAGTGCCCGTGCTGAGATGGGTTAAGCAGTACATTTTCTGTAGACTTCACTGGCACCTCTGCTTACAAAATGAGAATGGCAGCACTTTATTGTCCAAGTATATCCCCCTTTATGGCTGTGACATGCACCTGAACACTCGCCAAGCTTTCCTGGTGGGCACTGGCAGATGAATGGTCTCCGGCTGGCTTCATACCCCACACACTGCATGTCCCCTGGACATGGCTTCTCCAGACAGGGATCGTTGGACCCTGGGCAGAGTCCTCCTGCAAGAAGTTAAAACACTGTCAGGAATCCACAGTGTAAAGCATGACCTGCTGCAATAAAAGAGTAATGAAAGACAATTATTGATCACACACTTCAGTACAAGCAAAAAATGGCTTAATAACAACAAAAAAGCCTTAACAAACCTTCATAGAAAGGACCAGCTTTTGGACAAGTACACAGCAGAACTGCAATAGCTCTTTTCCAAAGACTGCCCTAAACCCCACGGGAACATATTATAAAAACGAACTATTATGAGCAGTAACTGGTTTATAAAATGGTGTGATAACTCTCAGGCCATTCATTTTCCCACAAAGTTTTCTGCACAGGGGCTTCAGAGATATGTGGGGAAAAAAATGCTTGAAGATATGCACTCCTTTTCCCCCAGCACACCCATGAGAAGTAAATTTAAGGAGGTAGAAACGGTCACAGCACCAAGCCTGCCAGAGTTCAAGAAGCATTTGGACAATGCTCTCAGGCACATGGTGTGATCCTTGGTGGTCCTGTGCAGGGCCAGCAGTTGGACTTCGATGATCCTTGTGATTCCCTTCCAATTCAGGATATTCTGTGAGTCTAAGCCATGCTTGGGCTACAGTGACGCCTGGATTTTTCATTCTCATACTACACAGGACATGCTGCCAGCTTGATCATACAGCACAGGCAAACTTGCCCTCCCCCTGTTCCTCCTGACATTTCCAAGATTTCACATCCTATCCAGCTTGCCTAGGTTACCAAAACCTTTCCCCCTTTTTTCTAATCTGCAGAGACAGAACTACACTGACTTAAATTTGCTTAAAACACTTGAGCAACACAATTATAGGTAGGTTTTTCAAAATCCCCTAAATTCTTGACGTCCAACATGCTGAGCATGTCAAGGACTTACTATTTAAAGCCTGTCAATGTCAAAAGAATATTTTGCATTTTATTGGGTTTGGCTAAAACTTCAGTGTATCTTCTGAAAATGTCTAAATAAATCTGTTTTGATTGTCCTAATCTTGAAAGATTTGTACACACTGTCTTATAATAACGCAAAACATGATACAACTATTGCTGCTTAATATATGAATTTTCAGAAATATGGGACTTCCACAACAGCTAGCCTCTTCCTGGTTCTAATATGGTACTTGGGAGATGCAGGGTCAGTTTCTACATTTGGGCATCTAAGTTTGGCTGTTATAAAAGTAGACTTCAAGTGCAGGAAAAGAGGCACTCCTGCCCTTGCTTTTGTTTATTTGCAGCCCCAGCATGAAAGGAGGAAAAAGCAGTTGCTGGGAATGGACAGACACCTCCTCCTTCGTTTATCAAGTTAATTTATTTAAGATATGCAGGTAATGAATTTAATGACAAAAAGCACCTTCCTACCCATTGCTTTCTGAATACTGGCAGTTCTTGTATATTGCAGGATCTATATTGTAGGATCCCGATCATATTCAAAAACTAGTTTACTTTTGAGCACACTGTTTTATTTACAGTTTATAAAGGAAGGAATCAACCTGTCATGGAATACATCTCTGAAAGTAATGAAAGGAAGAATCTTACTGCTCTCACACTTTTGTACAAGCCAAGCAGGGCACATAGAAAGCACAGCTGAAATTACCTGACACTGTAAGCATTTTCTGGGAAAAGAAAAATGACTACTGTAGCTTTCAAAGTGGACTTGGGCTGACTACAAATATGGCAATTACTGTAATGTCTTCCTTGATGTACAGCACAGTCAATTTAATGTTTAACATCCTCCCCTCCTTTATCAAACATTTGTTTGAGAGGTCTATGGAGTAAAAGATTTACAGTACTGCCTGTAGCTCTGTAAGAAAATGAATGCATGGCAATCTTTATTAATCACATTAGTAGGTAACATTAGCAGGAATAACAGCTGCAATACACAGTCACACTTGAGGCCTTATAGAATCAAGAAGAAACTGTCATAGGGTTCTGGACTACAGATTAATATTCTATTTAGATCTGTAGAATTTAACAGAGAATATGATGTTTTCCATACTTTGGTTTGTTTGGCTTTTTTTTTAGAATAAAACTCCTAATTTCTTAGAATTTAATGGCAAGTAACAATTATTTATGAAATTATAACAGGTTATTAAAAACTCTACAGGCTGCTTTGTATTTTCACGTTGGTTGTTTTAGCTATTTTAACTCATTCTTATGTGACAAATACAAAGCATTCTGGTGTCTGCAGAGTATATCTGTTCCTTGAACAAACTTAAGCCTTTTGTGAGGCTGCAATTCAAGAGCCTCTGTGTAGCTGACAGACATGCCATTTGGACTAAAGCCACACAGCTCGTCACTGTGCAGCAGAAAGAGGCACTGAGATTTCCAAATGTGGCTCTGCAAATTTTCACATCCCCTAACCTATGACTGTATCTTTGACATGAAGCCATAAAGGAACAGTTTACTTTGCTATCCATCTCTGCCAGGTTTTTTAAATGTGATTCAAACTGTGATTTGTACTTCAGAGCTATTCTTCCACATTCAAAGAATATATGGAAAGGAACTAACGTACTCCATGCAACAGTGGAGATAACTGTTTATCCTGAACGGCCAAGAACACTCCTTCTGGTAAACTACAAGGAAACCAACTTTTTATTCATCTTGCTGCAGCAGCATTTCATAGCTGTCACAAAACTTTAAAATATTCAGACTTGCAAGAAGTGCTTTATGCCTGTCTGTACGGTTATAAGTACATAAGCTACAAATCGGCATTATTGCATTGCCCCAGCTAATACGCATTTTCAGGCTGATTTCACAACTATGTGGAGCAAAATTGTAAAATTGTTCAAGGTTACGTTGTCCACATCAAAGATTTACAGCCTGAGTTTAAATAAAATTATTCTAATGTTGCATTTCCACTCCAAAGAGCAGTCTATTTTCCATCCAATAAAAGATTCAAGAAATATAGGTTCAAACTGATCTTTTTCTTTTCTAGGCAGGTTCAGACAATCCACAGCATTCTCTCGAAACTCACATTAGTATTAATAAAACTGTTCTCTACAAGGTATCACAGAAACACACGAGCTAGCATCAACCAGTGCGTGGCAAGAAAAGGTGGAATAGACCCACTTGATTTTGACAGATCATCTTCAGTTTGATTCTCTAAAAGAAGATAAAAGTATTTCAATCTTCTAACCAATATACTGAGGAAGAAAACACTGTTCCATTGCAAGATGAGAGATTTATTTAATTCCTATTCCTTCAAGAAAGGAGCACTTCTAGGATTGTAAATATATTTTGAAAATTGAGTGCTTCAACAATTTTAACTTAAGCCTTGTTATATTAGGTGGTTTTCCACTGGCCCAGTCTCCTGAATCTGTTTGAGTATTAAAAAGACTGTTTTTCTCACTTGTACAAAAAAAGCTTGAAAGGAGGGAGGTCCTGAAAGCCAGAGCTGCAGGAAGCTTGTAAAGCAAACTCCAAACTGCTACTTCAAATAATAATTAGTTTACTGTAGAGAGAAGACTGGCAACTCATGATCTGCAATCTGTTTATATTTTTGGAGCACAGTGACCAGGTACTGTAGACAGTGATTATTCCATGCATGTCAGTGTAGACACCACAGATTTGTTTCTGCACAAGCCAGCTACGGGTTTCAGTTGGCTCGGGTGCCCCTGGAAAACTTTGTGTCACACAGCATGTCCCAGGGAAACAGATTCTCTCCAAGTTTTAAATGACAGGACATTAGAACATTCTCACCCACTCCTTGATCCCAGATTCCATTAGGACTCCTTAAGTGAGAGAGAGCAATTCCCACTTGCCCTGGTTCCGCAGCCATGCCCCCTCTTCTCTCTGCAGCTCTCCCACCTTTTATATGGGCTTGTGCATTCTCAGCATGGGCTTTACTGCTGGAGATATCCACAGGGAGAAAACTTTCCTTGGACAAAGGTGACATTAAACAGACTACAGCCAGATCTAACAAAGCTATCTGCAGTTCTTTGTTCCCAAGCACAGACCTTTTTCTTCAATTTTCCTTGCCAGGAGAATTCCAGGCTCATTAATACCCATGTGTGTGCTTCCTGAAAATTGGAAAAGCAGTGTTGTACACTAATAACTGGGTTGCTGATGCCCAGTCCTTCAAAGCATCCAAACAGCATCCCTTAGAGGCAATGTGTGCTCTGTGGAGCTGAAGCCAAAAATCAGCTCTGAAGAACAGGTCCTGTACTAACAGCTGATCCTCAGAGTCTATGATTTCAGAGCATTCACAAAATACTAGAAATGGCTTCATGAAGTATGAATTGTCTTGATTCATAAGAAAGTGGTCCAAGACTGCTGTTCTCTTGATAAAATGACATGGATGTGTCTGTACTTTTACTGAACACTCCTGTGTCTATTAGAAAAATTCTTTCAAACTATTAGGCCAGAATAATTTTAAACACTTGAAATGGAATTCATCTAACTTGAGGGCATGATTCATCTGACTGATTTTAGACATCTAGGGAGAGATGTATCACATTATTAAAAATACCTCGTTCTTCCCACTGTCTGCAAATGGGGCCTGGAGTGACCAGCACAGATGTAGATACATGCCCATATTTGTCAAGATTACTTCAATCTATTCCTCTCCTGTGAACATATTAATGTAACATCACTTTTGTAAGATTATAATGCAGAACAACTCTAAGAGCAAAGTAGCCCAAACAAAACCTGCTCTGCCCCTGGACCTTTGTCTCAACACAAAAGAATTACTTTGCATCGTGAAAAAAATATGGAATAGATTTTTGCCTCTGAAACATGAGAATGCCATAAGAACTATTTTACAGGAATATATTTATTCCATTCGTCCTACTTTTATTTTCCCCAGCACTGACAGATGTTTGCATGCCTTGTGCCATGTGATGGGAGGTTGGTAATCACACAGCCTCTCTGGTCACGCTGACACAAACCCCAGTTTGTGACAGTATTTTTCATACAAACACAAACATATGAGCCAAAAATCTAAGGGGACAGTCTGTTATTGGAAAACTCTTTAGTTCAATTTTATTGATTTAAAAGCTAAGATTGATGCATGTGAACTTTTGAACTTATCCTTCTAGAGCTGAGCTGCTGTACCTCCGAAGTTCACCCACTGCCTACTTTACAGTCTCTCTGCATTTTCACATTAGATAACTCTGTTTGCTCACAAAGGTAATCTAGGTAAGTTATGCACAGCTGGCATGCATAAATTGTGCATATCTGTGACATCTGCCAGTGGGAAAAACACTCAAAGTATGATACATATTTCAAGAATGAGTGAATTAGTTCAATCTCAAGCTTTCTGGGCCATAATTGAATCAGATCTCTGGAAACATATGCAATATTTTAATGGATTTTTCGTAATTCAAGGTATTAATATTTACTGGATGTAGAACTCTTTTAGCAACAAAGGAAGTATAATACTTTTATTATACTACTGCAAATATCTTGCTAATGCTGGCTCATTCAACAAGCCAAAATAAATTTGTGCACTTTTTCCTGAATTGCTGCATTTGTGCATTTATTTATAAGAACTGCTGATGGATGAAGTATCTGCATTTTTCTCTTTTACTCTAGTCTTTAGCTATCATGAAAGCAAAACTACCCATACATTCTCTAACTATTTTACTCTCACAAGTCTGTGTTATCTCCTATGTGAGAAAACACAGTGTTTTTACCTAAATACCAAAAATATTTTCTGTGGCTCCTTCAATTAAAAACAGTAGAAGAGGATGAAGCATTAACTAATGAGGGGAAGGTGCAAAGCATGCATTTTCTCTTTCCACCAAGGTGTATTATTTCTGTGCAAGTAATAGACACCAAGGTGTTCACCTCTTTGGCAGCTATACCTAACTCAGCAGCTCTGGACACTTTTTTCCTACAGGCAGCATGCCAGGCTGGATGTGCTCAACCCCACCCCTAATCATGTGGATCCCCCATAGTAAATCTGCATCTAGTGGCTCAAAAAGGAGCAGTGGGAAACCCTCCAGCTTTTCAGCAAGGCCAGGACAAGCTGCCTGTTGCAAATGTTCCCACACAGCAGTCTTCAAGGCCATGATAAATGGCCCAGAGGCTGGGGGACCACAGTTGCTCTCAGAACCACACTGCCTTTCCAGCAGCCTGCCATCCATTTTGAGGATTGACTGGTACATGACAGAAGAATTTGGAAATCGCTGTCCCAGCTGAATTTCTGTGCTTCCATTGCAAACTTGCTGTGCCAGGAGAGCTGCTGGGTCAGAACTGTGCTGCACTACAAAGTCCCTTCTTTGGAGTTAAGCTAAGGGATTATGAGGCAGAGGGAATAATACATCATTATTGCCTTTAATAGGTAGTGAAATGAAATGATAAACAGTGAAAATTTTGGCTGCCAGAAAACCAATTTCTGACTGTGAGGACTATCACTATCCCCATGGAGATGAGGATTTGTGGTTTCTTGATACAAAAGTGAGACTAAGCTATAACTTAGAGAACATAAAAAAGTTTGGCAGACAGTGTTCCTGCACTGGCTCCTGGACCTGACTGGAGGATATTGCAGCATTGTCCCTTTTAAACCTGTGAAAATCCTTTAATTCAGAGTCTTTCATGTGAAACAAAATGCTGACTGTTGTTATAATAGATATGTCTATTTGAAACTTATAGGAATCCTACTTAAAAAGTGGACAGATAGTCTGCTCTTGAATGTACTTCAGATAAAGAATCACGGTATTTTTTTCAGAATTGAGCTTCTATGGCATTATTATCCATGTGCCGCAGGAAGAAAAATTATTTCTGTTTAAGTTTAATGCAATTTATGCCTATTTTCATCCCCACCAAGGTCAATGGTAAAATATAAAGCCCTGCTGACTGCTGCAGAAACAAAGGTTGGTTATTGAGGGATATGGCTGCTGAATTCTTGTATTGCTCTGTGTGTGCATGTGTACTGAAGATGAGGGAGACTTAGATGTATTGATTTTGCAGCAGCTTTTTTCTCTGCTCTTAAATGAAGTGGAATGAGGAGCAAATAGCCTGGCAAACAAAAGAAACAGAGCCAGTATTATAACTGCCTGAGGTTTTTAAAATCCAAGTGCAGAATCATACAGAGGATTGGCTCACAAGTCTGTCATATGCCCATGTGAAATCTCTGCCAAAATGTGGAGCAGCCGGAAACCCACCCTGTCCCCTACTGTAGCACTAAAGGTCAGGAAAAGCACTTTCTAATAAAATACTTCATTGGTTTCCGTGGCTCTCTGCAACAATGGGACTGGAAAAGGCCTTTCCACCTGCCCGGCTTAGGTCAGGGGTGCTTTTCCTTGGAGACTGCTGGTGCATTGCTGGAGACCTGGCTGCTCTGCTGCAGTCATAATCCAGGTTTATTCCAGTGGTGGCACCAACTGATTGGGAAACTACATCCCCCCCTCTCCTCATTCTTCCTCTCCCACTCCTTCCCCTCTCCTGGAAGCTGGCTGATGGCTCTGATTGCAGAGCCTCCAGGAAAGCGGTCTTTGTCGTAAAAGGCCAAAGTTCATAAACTTCCATTTACATCAGTAAACACGAACAATTCTTCCCCAGCCTGAGAAATCAATTCCCACAACGCATCAGCCAGTCGCGCTTTAGCAGACTGAATTGAAATGCCCCTTCTAATCTGCATCAGAGGAATAAAATGGATCCTTTTGCATAATGTGCAGCGATGGGAGGGGAAGAGGGAACAGCACTCACCATTGCACATGCAGCGCACATTCCTGTAGAAGCGGGGACACACAAAACTAATTCGTGCCGTGCTGTAAGTCATCAGGGAATGCGAATCAATAGACAGACTTTGCTCACAGTGCTGCTCCTGACAATCCAGTCCGGAGCAATTCTTCTCCAGGATAGCAGAAATACGAATCACATTTTCCAAGTGTCTCCTCGCATTGGTAAGCTTCTGAATCAAATAGGCAGGCTTATAGAAACCACCGCTGTGCATCTGCACGGCAAACAGCATGTCGAGCTGGCTGCTGCCCGCCACCGGCTGAATGCTGATGATGTGCAGGCTGTCCTGCTTCTGGGACAGCACGGCGTTGCGCAGGGTGCGCCTGAAGCCGTGCATGTGCAGGCCCACGAAGTCCTCCGGGGAAACGCTCTCGAAGCGGATGGTGACCGTGTTCTGCAGCATTTCCTGCAGCAGCTGCTCAACGTGGACCACGACGTCGATGGGCACCTGGAAGCGGCCGTCGCTCACGGAGACATTCAGGACGTACTTGCCGTTATCCAGCCCTCCGAGGGCGATGATCTTCCCGTCATGGCTGTTGACCTTGAACAGACTTTTCTGCTCTGATTTTAGCGTGTAGGTGAGGACGTCGTACACATCCTGATCCGTGGCATGAATTTTCCCAATGACTCCCCCAGGAAAATCATCTTCCATGGTGACAATGAAAATCTCCAGTGGAATGGCTGTTGGTTTGTGAATGCTCTCTTCAATAACCCTCACCTGAACATAGGTATGGGAAACCTGCTGAGGCTTCCCGGAGTCCTTTGCCTAATGTAATTTGGAAAAAATAAAAAAATAAAAACACACATAGAACACAGCCTGCAACCGTAACTTCTTGCTATATATATTCTCACAGCATCAGTAATTCTGAAATGAAATTCTCAAAAGAACGCTCAAATGCACTTGCAAAATACATATGTAAAGAAGTGTCTCAGCCATTTCTAGCAGTGGAACTTACAAACTCTTTAGGGAAGCACAGCTCTCTAAGTGGATTGCAGAGAGAAATGTGTCAGTAGAATGTCTCATTACTCAAACTGAAATGTTCCCAGGATCCCACAGTTATCACTTGTCATCTTCACAACAGAGAATACACCAACAATGTGGTATATTCTGCACCAAACACAGTTTGGGCTCACTTCTACCCTGGAGAAGAGACTGAATTCCAGTGAAATATCAGCTTTCTGCATTGCTTGGGGTGTTCCAAAGCATTTCGAACACTGCTTAGCTTATGTGAATGTGAGGGAGTTCAGAATTTTTCTGCAGCATTTGGTACTTCTTTACCTGAAGCAATCAAGAAACATGCTTGACATAAATAAAATTTATCTTCCTCCAAAAATGAAATAGGTGCTTGTGCTGTTACTAATGATAAAATATGAGAGCAGCACTGCACTTGGACCGATTATTGGATGACCCAGAGCAGGTATTATAGCATCATTTGCACTTTTTTTGTAGAGAGCAAAAGAGCAAGTATGACAAAAAACCCAAGGCCATCTTGACAGAAAGGTGTGCAAACCTGAATCAGTGTCCTTTCCTACAATAAGAAAAACGTTTCATTGCAGTCCCTATTGTGACATACTGCTCCACGCATTTATTTGCTTCAGACAAGAGCAGAAGACTAAACTGCCACTAGATAGAGATGTAGGACACGTTCAGTGATCTTTGCATTTGGATATGGGAGGAAAATTTGCAAGCTGAAGCAAAAATGGCAGGATGACAACAGCAATATGGACACTACTAGGAGCAGATTAGTAACTCTAAGACACACTAAAATTCATTCATCTTCACTCCTAGAAGAGCTGGGTGGAGTACTGAAAATATTTTTTATATATGTGCAGACAAATACCCATGTACATGCAAAAGAGGTTATGTCTCATTCCACTTTCTATTTTAACATTAATTCTTAATAAACCTAATACAGAGGAGAAACCTGATAGTGGAAAAGAGAAAGCAGCACTCTGGCACATATGGAGGGAAAGAAACACTTCTATGGTCTATACACAACAGGAAACTATAAAATATGTTTTCCTGCAGAAATCCCTGAAGCAAATAATACTGTGGATGCCTCCACAATCCAACAGCGCAGTTTCCTGATCACGTTGGTGCATCTCAGACATGGTGGTCTAATATTTCATTTATATGAAATACGTGAATCTCTAAAGCTAGAGGATGCTGCTCAAATTTAACTCTCATGGCCAGTTTTGGCTACACTAGAACTCTGCTTAGTGAATTACCCTGAAAGCAGGATATTTTATGATTAAGGCATGGTAAGAAAAAAGGTGATGATTTTTTATTTCCCTGCAAGGCTAAAAAATAGGTTTCAAGGATACTAAATGTCAAACTTTGATTTGAACTGTTAATTAGCATTAGAGCTTCTATTTTGTGAATTGTAACCAACAATTGCATCTAAGGATGATGCTACTGCTGTGAAAATCATTAAATGTGTTTAAAAAGGAATGGACAGGCTGTGTTTAGGGAGATCAACCCCAGCAAAGCAAGTGGAGGAAGAAAGAATTTCAGACACAGCTTATTGGACCATGACTCATTTCAGTGAAGAGGTTCATTCCCTAGACTTGCATATTTACTGAACCCTAATACAACTTCTCTGGCAGACCTGAGAAATGTGGACAAATTAGTTTTGGATTTACAGGTTGTAGCAATCAAAATTACCCTGGTTACAAAGCTTCTCAACGATTATTCTAAAGCTAAGTTTGAGCTGGACTTCTATTGCATGTCTTACTTTGACATTCTTTAAAAGCTAAGTTGACCTTGGAAATGTGATTTCATGAATTCTTGGAAGGCTTCCAAAAATTTATGATTAAATTTATGACTTAAAAGCCAAAATGATTTTCATTCCTAGAGCAGTATTTTGCAGTCACTTGTTCTGGGGTGCATTTATATATATATATATATATATAAAATGCATTTTTTCTCATTCTCCTTCCTTAGCTACAGAAAAAAAGATGAAAATCTTAAACCATAATGGTCGCTGCTCAGAAAATTCATTTCATGCTGAGGAAATTGGAAAGGTGGCTGGCTACGTATTTATATTTATATTTATAAGAAACCAGGTTTAACAACATCAAAGAAAATATTCTGCATTGTGCATTTGCAAACTGGAATGTGCGGTATTTACTTGCAGAATAGAGTCTATTAAAACCAACCCATACAGGCAAAGCACAGGTTACCTACCCTTAAGAGATTTTTTTGTTTCAGTGTAGATGTAAAAATCAAGCCTTACCTGCACACAGAGCACATACTCAGTTGAGACCATGTGCTTGAAGATGACTGCAGATCTCAAAACGCCATGAGGGTCCAGTGTAAACTCCTCCTCTTCATTGCCAGTGAGGATGGTGAAGGTAAAAGGGGGGCCATTGTGAAAAGAGTCTTTGTCTGTCACTACCAGCTGCAAAATGCTTGTGCCCACTGGTTTATTTTCCTTTACACATATACACAGCGTATAAAGAAAAGGATTAAAATGATACATATTGCAATCATAAAATACCACATTTTTCTATTGAGAATATTCAACTGAATGCTCTTTGCCCAAGCTGGTATTTCATAAGCTGCATTTTGTAGACACTGCTTACACCCCATGGACCAGTGGCAGAGATTAAGGTACCTGCCACACCTGCAGGGCCTGCTAGGCTCTCTCTGATACTCTGTCTGATCAGGACTGACTAAAAGTCAAGACTCACACCCAGAGCAAGGTGTAAAGAAGTGTGAACTTATCCCAGAGCAGACATTTTGAGGCTGGAGTACCTGGTGCAGCAGGGACAAATGTTAAAATATGTGACAGATGCTGTGGTTAAGGAGCCTCAGCAACCAGAAATTTGCCAAAAGATTCAAGAAAGATTTGTTTATACTTTCCTTTATATAAGATTACTTGATAGATGTTTTGCAGATAGATCATCAAAAGGTACTTAACTGAAACCAAATGCCCACAGGTTTTAAAAGGCAGAGAAGTTTTTGATGTGCAGGATAAACTTACTTGAATTACAGCTGTGTAGTTAGCTGGAGTAAACACAGGGCTGTTATCATTCACATCAGAAATGTCCACATTGACCGTGGCAGATGAAGACAAAGGAGGGTTACCACTGTCTCTTGCCTGGACAACTAATGAATAACCAGATATCTGAAAAAAGGTGAAAACATTAAATCATTGTGAAAGTCGTCCTAAATTTTAACTCAGGTTCTTTACATTCAATGCACCACCTTCCATATTCTAAGGAAAGCTGTTTGGCCTCATTATTTTCCTGCCCTTAGTATAACATTATCCTGTTTATCACCACATTGTGCCCCAACTTCTGTTTTATAAAACTACCCATGAACATAACAGCTCTATCGTATTAAAATAACTGTATCAGATAAAGCATTCCTGAAACAAAGGGGCAGACAGAAAATAAACGACAGATAATATGTGAACTCAGCTATTAGTCCTGTAAGCTTACATTTTCATCTCTCCTAGGTGTCAGCTGGGATAAGCGACCTGATTCTATTTATCGTACAGTTGGCTTCCAAGATATTATATAAATCGCTTATTAGAGCCAGTGTCAGTTTGACACATACTGTTTCTAACACGGTGATGGAGAGCCAAGAAAAAGTTCACAGGCAGTTGGCTTAAACATACTGGAAAACATTTGGGAGTATGAAGGACAACAGTCTCTGTAGAGACAGAAGAGTATCCACCATTCTGCAGAAGGTAAGTGGGCTTGAGTCTGCTTTTCTGCAACAGACACAAGCAACTCAGTGCAGTGCAGGCAGTTCAGTGCATCATCCATGGGCTCTCCACACACATATGTGCCCGTGTGTGAGGTGTGAGCATATGTGACAACTTGCAAAAGCTCTGTCTATGCACAGTTTATGGATGACAGTTGGATTTTCCAAACTGCATCCTTATGTTGGCTTCCATAGGTCTTACAAAGGCTTTTTACTGTATATTGCTCCTTGCTCTGCAGGGAAAGCTGCTGACATGTCTGCCCCTGAATCCTCCCACAGCGGAGCAAGGGAAGGGCAAAACATGCTAGATACAACACTCCACTCCATCCTCTCAGTGCAGGGCTGGAAAGGGGAAAAGCATGGCCCTGCAGAGGGGAACAAGATAATGTTAAAGGGGCTTTTTGGGGAGGAGGGTGGGAGGGAAGGAAGTCCAAATATATTTGAAAAATAACAGGTTTTTTTGGGGTAGGGAGGAGCTCAGACTGAGCACACAGAGTAAGGTGGCTCTTCTGGCATGCAGGACCAATACAAAGCAAAAGGCAACATATTTTTTGGAGGTTGTATGGAAGAGATAGACTGTGATTTGGTGGGGGCAAAATGACACAGGAGGGGAGAGGAATCCCGAACTAGGGAAAGTCAAGAAACTTGAGGGAGACAATTAATCTTTTTTTTAACTGTAATTTCCACTGCTAGCTAAAGACTGAGAGTTTTGTGGAATATTTCCCAATTTTTTTCTGTGTTTGCTTTCATTGCAATGTGTCCCAAAAAGGTAGATGGCAAAAGTCATGGTCTCTATGTGATTACAGATCTGGAAATAAGTCTCCTTAAACCACTGAAACCTGGGAGTCAGCACTTCCTTTGAGGATCTACAGCAGATGGGGCATCATATATAATTTTCCCTGAAGGGGTCAGAAACACCTGTGTCTAGGAAATGTGCCAAGGAAGCAAAAAAAAAGACAATATCACAGCTTATTTTAACTGAGGGAAACTTTGGAAAATGCAGACCTAACACAGCTGGCATTACACATGCACACCCTTGTGAGGGTAAGTGTGTGTGTCTGAATGCAGCCGCACATGAGTGCACTTCAGAAACTAAAAAAAGTTATATTAAGAAACTCAGCCTGGGCTTTTATTACAGCCAACTTGTAACATGAACAGCAATTTTTACTCCCCTGTTGTAGACAGTCTGTGGTGAAGTCATTCTACCACCAAACACGAACAATTTAATCCTGCCTTTGTGAAAACACAGAAAGGGGTTTTTGCCACTGTTTTGAGAAGTAGGTCTGCTTCCAGCAAAGAGCTTCTCCAGCTGAGCCCATATTCTGAAGGTAGCAATCTGTTTCCCAGTTTTGTGGGTGCATTACTGGGAGGCAGGAGGCACAGATTTCCTTACGTGTTGCAAGATTTCTGAAGCCATGTAGCACTGTCCTGCCCTGCTAGTAGCACAGGCAACTGCATTTGTTTGTTTTCTTTCCCCCCAAAGCTGCTAATTGCTAGCTATGGCAAAACGGCAATAAATAATCCTGAATGAATAATGGAGTGAGCAAACAAAGCGGCAGAATCTGTTTAATGAAGCGCTCTTTCACTTTTGGTACAGCCTGGCCACTTCATAACATGCCCTCCCCAGTGACATGCTGTGCAGAGCGCTAATGAATGTCTGCGGTCTCAGCCCGGCGTGCGGTGCCGCAGTCCGGAGCTCTGTGTTGCACACGCAGCCGCACGCCCGGCGAGGGCAGGCAGCTCAGTAATGTAATGCAGCAGCAGCTCCCGCTGGCACCAGGGCACCAACCCAGCACTGCTGCGCTCCCCTGGAGTGACCCCGGCTGCTGCGTGGGTGCAGGCTGCGAGTGGAGCAGAGCAGCTGGCGTGTGGATGGACTGGGGACGGGGCTGGCGTGGGAACAAGTGGGAAAACGTTAGGAAGACCTGTTGGACCATCTTAGGCTGATCGCTGCAGAGTATAAAAGGAAAGTGTAAAAGAGTATAAAAGAAACTCCTTCAACACAAGCTAGCGGCAGAGTGGAGACTGATGCACATCTGTAAGTCATTGCAAGTTAAGAAGTCCCACGTGTCTTACCCTTTCTCTATCCAATTTCTTTTTAACCTTCACGAGTCCCAAAACAGGATCAACTGAAAATTCGTTGTCTTGATCCCCATTCACTATGGAAAAATGAATCTGACCATTGGGAGGACTGTCCAGATCTTCTGCTATCAACTTATTTTAAGAGAAGAACAAAATATTAGTAAAACAAATATCAAATGATACATTAATTGCTCAACACTCCAAAAAGTAAACTTCACATTCCATCAGACTAATTATACCTGAACTTCACACCTCTACAGCATCAATCCAATAGGTTTTTGTTAGGAGGCTTCACTCGAGCCTTTTCAAAATTCTAGTCTGAAAACATACAGAATATTTTAATCTTAATATTCCATACAACACTCTCTCTCTGGATCCACAAGTTGCAAGACAAGAATATTGTGAGGTTTGAGGGTGGCACACTGGATGCCAGACTATACAAATACTATATATTTGGAGCTCTGAGCAACTCGGTGCAATGAAAGGTGCCCCTGCCCACAGCAGGGTGGCTGGAACAAGATGACTTTTTAGATCTCATCCAACCCCGTGACTCTATGACGGCATTTCATTGAAAAGCTGAATTCTGCCTTTCTGTTAAAACCTGTTTCTTTCTAGCCTACTCATGAAATGCAACACTTTAAATATGTCATTGCTCTTTGACAGCATAACAGGGTTAAAAAGAAAGGGTCAGTACTACAGCTACTACTTTCTTTTGGAGAGAAGCTGACAGCAGCTCGGAGAGCAGCTGCAGACGCAGAGTATCGACTACAACATGGTTCGGGGGCTTCAGGACGTAGTAACTCTCCTTATCAAGCAGTGCAGCCTTTTTTTAGGGGCAGAGGGCTTCCTGGCACCTATGTGGCAGGCAGGGCGCCACTGACCATGAGCACGGAGTCCCCGACGGCCGCGTCCTCGCTGATGACGGCGCTGTAGACGGCCTGGCTGAAGGCGGGCGCGTTGTCGTTGACGTCCGTCACGTTCACGTTCACCGTCGTCACCGCGCTCAGCGCCGGCGTGCCCCCGTCCTTCGCTTCCACTACCAAGTAGAAGTCCTTGCACGACTCAAAATCCAAAGCTTCAGAAATGGAAATCACCCCTTTGAAGCGAAGGAGGGAATGTCAACAGCCAGCAAAAAATAAATAATGCCACAGAGTAAGGGATTTGACTGTAGTAAACAGTACAGCATGCTATTTATCACCATGGCACACATACAACACTAACTGTAAGACTGCCCAATCCAATAAAAATGTTTATTCAGGTTTCTATTGCTGTCGTTTGATTAAAGAATGATGCCAATTGCACTTGGGTTGCCTCTGCAGAAAGGACCTTTACAAGGCATGAGGCAATGAATGGTTCCTCACGAAAATAGCTTTCATTATGTGAGTATCATGGATGAAGAAGTGGGGCCATATCCACCCATTTACCGTCTCATTCACGGAGCCGTTGGGAGAACTGGATGCCGACTCTGGAAATAAGCCCTGACAAGTCAACAGAAATTCACTCCCACACAATTAACTTCTCATGAATTAAATACAAATGAATAGGATATGAATACCTCTGAGAAATCAGTTGTCTATCATTTAAGTGATTAAACAGACTTTCCCACTCAAATAGGTTTATAAATCTTGTGTTACTTCACCACACAGCCAAAATTAGGATTCTCTGTAACTTGATTCACTCCATGCACCCAGACTCCCTCTAGGATAGAAATGATCTGATTTCTAGTGTTCTTATAAACTTCCTACAATATCAGTTTCCTAGCCTTCTCAGGAAATGTATTTCAGGACTTCATAATCATTACAGCTCAGAATTTCTTCCTACCATTTAACCGAAGTAATCCAAATGTAATTTAAGCCCATTCACAACTTCTTTTCTTATAACTGGGCATGGAGTACAGTTTATTCCCCTCTTCTTCACAGGTACTTTCTACAGGAATGAAAACTAACAGCATGTCTTCTCTCATCTAGCTTAAACAGCCTTAATTCCTTCAGTCTTTCCTGGTAAGTCACATTTTACAGATCTCAGATCATTCCTCTTCATCTTGTCTGGGCTCTCTCCAAACGATTTCCACCTTTCAGCGTGACTTGCTGAAAGCAGGAGCCCTGAAGAGAAGCTTCCAAGTGGCTAGCAGAGAGTTCCCACTGATAAATGGTGTGAAGGACATGATTTTTCAAGCTGTGATCAGGCATGCTACATCACCACTCTGCTGTCTAGAAACTGAGCTCCTGCCTCTAAACAGATAGTAATGGAGCTGTCACACATTAATGAATAATATATAGTTTTAGTTTTGTTTTGGTTTTTTTTTTTTTTTTTCTGTGTGATTAAGCTTCATTATGGGTTTTTATTGATTTATTTCCTTGGCTTCATTGTCAAATGTGAAGTTAAGTATCGCTGCCTAGGCATATTTATGTTTAAATTTTGCTCGTACTAATCAACATGATGAAGATGACAGACAACACAGTTATGCTAAGTCCCTCACATAAAAGCCAGCAATCTCTGCAGAGTGAAGAGCCATTTTTGCACACAATTATAGAAATGACACAATGCATAATTTTGAGATTTTTCATGTTACTGGCAATTACAGTTGCACCCAAAGAAGTGTTATCTTCAGCTCTTAAAATCAAGACTGCTTTGCTCTCAGACTCTGCTGGCAGGTTTGGACTTGTCATCCTGAATGCTATGAGAAAAAGGGGATCCACTACAGTAAGCATAGAAAAAATAGCTTACAGTTGATGGAATAAAAACTCTGTGAGGATAAAGAATATATCCCACTTAGGAAATTCAATGAAAATGTGCCATTTACACCAAATATGATACCTTTGCTTGGTATTTCTTATAGAGAAGCAGTGGTGTACTTCTAAAATTTGTGCTGTATAATCAAAAAGAACTCAACCCAAGCCATGGCTGAAGTCAAAAAGACAAATCAGAACAACCTAAGTCAGGGAAGCTGCATAAAGCTACCTAAATGGCAACCACGTATTAGGACTGAATTGGTCCTAAGACGTCCTGCTAGCACTGGCTGATGCTTTCTAAGGGGCAGATAGTTGAGGCTGTAATCAGCTGGTAAACAAGTAAACACTGCAAGTGTTTAGAAATGTTTGTGCAGTTTGGCTAATAGGCTGTCACATCTATATTGGCTTCAAAAGACTTACTAATGGAGAAAAGTATTCTCCACTTGAGCTGAGGCAGCCATGTGTGACCGTAATTGACATCACTCTCCAACCTAAAATTGCTTTTTAACTGTGTAGTTAATTACACAATGACAAGCTGTGAGTCTCTGGCCTTGGAAATCTTTTGGTCCAAGAGCCTTCCCCAAAGCATTCATGTTTTTCTGATGCTTTAATTTAGCGTTGCAAGTAAGAGTCACTTTACAAACCTGTTTTGGAGTTAATCCTGAACTTCCCTTTCTCATTCCCTGATCTGATGAGATAGGCAATCTCAGCATTTGTACCAATGTCTTGGCTTGTAGCAAAAACAGAAAGGACCTCGGTGCCAGGCAAGGTGTCTTCAGGCACTGTAACAAGATAATCTCTTCTTTCGAACACGGGAGGGTTGTCATTAATGTCTAGCACTGTAATGGTAACAGTGGCAAATGAGGATAAGGTCAGCACAATGCTTTGATCTGAGGCCTTTACAGTGATGTTATAGGAGGACTGAAGCTCTCTATCAAGTGGATGCTCCAAAATAATGATTCCTGATGACCGGTCAACTGAGAAGAAACCATCTGCAGAGTCTGACAGGGAATAGGTGACTTTTCTGTTCACGCCTGAAAGAGAAGCAAATGGGAACATGGAAATGAGAAATAAAGAAAAGAAAAATCTCTCCCCATCTAATAGAAACCCTAAGCAAAATCTGCTATCACACTGAGCATTTGCAGTGGGGGTAGAGATAGGAGTGCCTGTGGGTACAATACAGTTGGAAGTTTGGGAGATCAGGACATGCTTTTCTCACATGACAAATCCCTGTGGATAAGTTAAATTCCTTCCCTCCTCATGATACCTTTTCCTAAAGATTATTTTGCAAAACTGCTGTGTATTGAAACTTAAAAGCAGAATCCAGATATGGTCCTTACCCAGAACAGCTTATAATTGAATTAGATGAGACAAGCAGAATGCTGAAATTGGAAATGTCTCAGAGCACATCTTGAAGGAATAGAAAGGTACGTAAGGGGAAGATAAACCCATAGAAATACATCAGGTGGCAGAGAATGCACCTGTACCAGTGCTGCCTTGATTTGACTGTTGAGCAGAAAAATATTATCATAGGATGATACCTGTTAAACAAAAGCTGCATCAAAAAACTCCAGAACATTTTAAAAAGGGAAGTCCCTCTATTCCCCAGACTAAGAGCAAAAATTGAGTTGTACAAAAGACATACTGCATTTTTAAAATCCTGCCCATATTTCCCAATACAAAGCACCTATCCACCCAGCTGCTGAATATGCAGATCTATGCTAAGGTTGTTGTCAATAATAAAGCCTGAGGGGATGGTACTGACTTGGTTTCTGCACTACAGTGGGATAGCCATTTCAAATCTAATTAAAAGTGAACGCAGATATAAGCTAATTCAACTCCCTCGATGCTAGTTGATTTTGAGATTTTGTCCTGGGTGCTTCAGTAAGAGATTATAACTAAAACACAAAGATCCACTAAAATGGAGAGTCTCTGTTTTTAACATCTCTCAGTTGAGCATTTGCTGCTGTTTTTGTTGGGGAACAGACTTTACAAGCCTGACATTAATCAGATGAACAAGAGCTACCAATCCCTTCTAGGCATATTTTGTTAATTTAAAATTTGTGACAGTATTATTCTGCTTTCCAGCAGCAAAGCATTGTAGAAATGTCTGATCAAAAGCAGCACAAATCACAGTTGTTTTCTACTTGATGTAGCAGGAGTTCAGCATCCACACAAGGGGGAGCTGGGAGACTCTTTGTTCAGTCACACACACATAAAAGCTAGACCAACTACAAAGTCCCAGACCCTACTTGAAGGGCGTTAGGAATTCCTATTTGGCTCTTCAGAGAATAAAGTTTTTATGCAGTGCTTGAGATACCAGAGTATATTTAAAAGGTTCAAATGTCTTTAAAATATGGAACAAATTAAATGGCAATATTGCAGTGAGCCAGGCTGATACGTTTTTTTGTCTTGTTTTGTTTTGGTTTTTTAATCACAGCAGAGCCTCTCTATTCACCATGGCACCACAAATGTGAAAAATAAAATGTCTCACCTTCAGCAAAACAGCGAGGCAATCAAGGAAGTGACTCCTGTCCTACAGGTGAGGAACTGAGCTCAGCCCATGAACTCACAGGAAATTCCTTCATGTTAAAACAGGCAGGCTTTGAATACCCTACAGCTGCTGGAGAGCACACCCCTTTGCTTAGTCTCTTGATAAAGAGACTAAATACATCCAAATACATCCAAATAAATAAATAAATACATCCAAATACTCTGCCAGCTGATAGTCAATCAAACTGACAAACATTAAAAAGGAATAAAGCCTTCTAGAAGGTGGAAGATTTATCAGAGTATGAATGGTTGGAGGTATCTACAGTTCCAGCTGGGGAGGATCTCCTTCAGCTAGACATCCTCCATGAACTTCCACTTACAAAAACAGGTCAGACCTGACTGTAACAATTAATGAGTTAGTAATAACAGCTGATCCTCAGGGATGCTGGAATATGGGATTTTTTTCCCCCATGATTCAGAGCAAGCTGCTGAACACCCAAACGACATGAGTTTTACCTGTAAAACTATTCAGTATTCTGCACCATCCACTCTTGGGGCCTGCCAGTTTCTACACAGTATCAAAAACTCCTCTGAGGCAGGGGCTCTAACACACACCTTCTACACATCTGTGACTGCAGGAGAGCCTTAGTCTGGTTTGCACTCTTCTCTGGCACAAACTCCCTTTTTGATACTCACTACAGCACACCTGGGCACAAGACAGAAGACTCACATACCACAGTCCTTCAGGGCACAAACAGCTACAAAGGAGATGGCCAATGGATGCTTTGTGGATTGAAACACCATGAAACTTCAGCAAGGGTATCTTGCAATGAGAATGGGGAGAGAGAATTTGGTGCATGTGACACCACGGAGGGCGAGTTTATTTACAGGAGGTAATAAAGTAAAGTAAGTAAAGGCAGTAAAGGCAATCTGACATATAATCCAGCCCCTCTGCTTCCTATTAACAAAATATTAATAATGTTTTTTGTAAGCGATTACTGGTGTTCCTACAATGGAGACAGATCAGATACAGATTTCGGTGTTCTGGTTGCTCACTCTAATATATGGGATTTTTAGGCAGAAATGGAGATAAGTGAGTGCTTTTATTTTTCCTTCCTGGAAAATGAGAGAGGAATACAGACATTCTAGAGAAAAGGGTTATCTTGTACCGGTCTGATATGAAGAAGAGAACAGCCTTATTTTTCCCATGGGACATGAAAGAAAAGCTCTTACAGGTGAAAGTGCCACTTTATGCAAGGAGAGATGGAAGATTCAGTCAGAAGACCTGACTGGGGACACAAATACTAACTCTTGGTGGCTTTTGGCCCAAATACCAAAAGGAGGAAAAAAAAGGAGACATACAGAGGGAGATCTCAGCTGTGTGTTCGCCCTTTCATAGAGTGTTTTGAGGGGTGGGATTTAATACTTGCTTCTTAGGGATAAAATCAGTGAAACACTGTGGCAGAAACAGCACTTTGAAGAAAGTGTTGTGTTACATCAACAGCTGTTTTTACTGAGCTTTCAGACCCAAGGCTGGGAGAAAAATGGGCATGAGGCAAAGGTGAAGTAGGAAGCTATTTCTACTGAAATTCAAAATGCTTTAGTCCAGAGGCTACCCTCTCCTGAGAGAGGTGTCCACCAGTGTGTGTCAATGGTATCCTTGCCACAGAGGGGATGGTAGACTCTGCTATGACTATAAAGGAGATGCCTTCTGTGGAAAGGAAACAACTGCATCAATGCCATGGCTCCTGCACTGGTAAAGAGAGCAATCCTCCCACACTGCTTGCCTACAGCTGTTGGGGGATTAACGTTTGCAAACTGTTTTGTGTCAACTCGCTCACTCAAACTTCTCAGATTTCTAAGGTGCCAATCATGAACATGAGCTATTTGAACACAGAAAGCCTTTGCAGGAATCACTATTACAATAAGAAAATTGCAGTACATTTTTTTTTTAAATAAAGGGATAAGGTAGCACATTTTCTATTTAGACTTGTATTAGCATATGATAGAACATTGCCCTTTACCAAATCTCTGGTGTGAAGAGCTTGTAAAACCCACCTAGTACCTCAAATGCCATTCTTCAAATAGGTTTTTATTCTTGGTTTCTTCTGTACTAAAACAAAGGGGCACACACTGAATGTTACATCATGACAACTTTTATGTTATTACTACTTTTAATAACATCAGGAATACATAATACCTTTGCTTCATAATCAGCACTATCAATACCCTCCTTGTATAAAGCACAGAATCACAGAATCATTCAGGTTGCACCTCTGAGATCATTGATCAGCACTGTCGAGGCCACCACTCAACGATGTCCCCGAGTGTCACATCTACACATCTTTTAAATACTTCCTAGGGTTGTAACTCAACTGCTTCCTTGGGCTGCCTGTTCCAGAGCTTGACAATGCTTTCAGAGAAGAAATTTTTTCTTCTCTCCAATCTCAGCCTCCTGTGGTTTAACTTGCTGCCATTTCCTATTGTCCTATTGCTTGTTACTTGGGAGAAGAGTCTGATCCTCAACTCACTACAACCTTCTTTTAAGTTGCTGTAGATAGAGAAGGCCCCCCTGAGCCTCCTTTTCTCCAGGCTAAACAGCCCCAGCTCCCTCAGCCATTCCTCATCAACTTTGTGCTCCAGACCCTTCCCCAGCTCCGTTCCCTTCTCTGGACACGCTCCAGCCCCTCCATGTCTTTCTTGCAGGGAGGGGCCCAGAACTGAACAGGATTGGAGCTGCAACTCAACTGAAAATGGTGGAGTTACAACACATTTTGATTCAGACGGACACCAATTAAAAGGCTGAGCATTAACCCAATAGCACAATCCCCATATGACAGTAAGCTCCTGCAGTGGACAATACCTTAATGCATCACACATAAAGTAAAAGTTACACATACTAAAAGCCACACATAGTGTTTCTCCTTTCTGTTTTCATCTGCCACCCTGAATTCATTCTTTAATGTGTTTCCCCAAGTACAGCTTGACCACTCGCTTTTGTTTATGTCTGAAAAATGATGATTAACTTTTGTCATCTGCTTATTTTCATCTTGAAAACCTATGAAAATAAAGATAATGGCAAGTATTAAAAACAAACAAACAAGATGTAGACCAGAAAGCAAGCTGAAAAAAATTATTTTTCAGTTTAGCAGTAGTTTGCAAACATACAAAGCAAGCTGTCTGATTATTGTGCTTCCTCTTGCCTCTTTTATGGTGTGATTATTAATACTGGTATGTACCTATGACCCTTCTTCACTACCCAAGTGTTAACCACAAGGTCAATTACTAAAAGATAGAAGTCTACAACTTTGTTAACAGCAAACAAGACAAAAGATGAATTCTAAACCAGATTTTATAGTACTCTAATCCATCATATTGAGATGAAAGAGAAATCTTGCCTGAAGTACCTTGTTGAACAGTAGAAGAATATATAGCCCCATAGGGAAAATATTTCAAGTGATTTTTACAACTTAATAGAAAACTTGGCTGAGTTCAATCCATAACACTGCTACCAAGATAGACTTTCACTGTTTTTCCCTTT